ATAGTATCAGTGATTGACTTAATCAGAAGTAGGTCACTGCAACCTAAATTTTGACTTGTGACCTGGTTTCTTCAAGCGGAAAAGATTTATTGTTGTAAAGTATAAAACACTTACAACTATACAGCAGAGAGTAGTTTTGGAGGGGTGTGGTGCTGATCATGATGACAAAGTCAGATATCATGTTAATAGGAACACACTGTTGTCAGATGGTTTGTAGGTAAAGATCATGCTGATGTGGCTGTAATGTGATACTTAATATGTCTGTATAATGTACAAGTATATTGTACACTACATTGTTACAATTAGGGCGTTTCTGTTTCTCCTCCTTTTGTAATAAAATTTTTGGCCTGGCGTTGGCTTTACGATGATTCGACAAGTTGTAAACACTTCCTGATTGAAGGTGTGCCATGAGACTGCAAACTGAGAGAGAATGAAAACCTCTGGAGCATCATTTACTGTTTTTCATGTATTGCTTGTATTACGCTTGTCACATTACAGGTTGTGTAGGTATAAAAGTACCACTTAGTGTCATAACGATTTAGTAGTGATTTTATCTGATCAACAGACCTTCAGATCTTTTCACTGACAAGTATATATTACTAACTAGTAGTATTATACTAAATATACCCAATGTACATGACATGATATCATTACAGTTTAGGATTCTGGACATTGATCACTAAATTTGGAAACAACTCAGATAAGGTAATAGTTTGAAACATAAACAAAATGGTAAGCAGGTTGTTCAAAACCCTGACTCAGTTGCTAAATATTGAATTATTGATTCAAACTGTAATAATGAAAATTTTAAAAAAATAAAAGAAATTTTTTTTTTTTCTGAAAATCAACAATTGTCATGAATGACTGAGCAGATATTGACCAAATTTGGTCTGAGGCATCCTCTGGAGAAGAGGAACACATTTGGTATGAACAATGAATTTTGGCCCCTTGTGGCCAGAAGGGCAGGGCCAAATAGGGAAAATAGAACAAATTCATTAAAATCCTACTCCTCCCATAGGTTTGATTACATTTACCCAAAATTGGTCTGAAGCATCTTTAGTGAAGGGAAATCAGTTTTCTATAAAACAGGGATCTCAGTCCCATGTAGCTGGACGGGTGGGGCTGAATGGGTTAAATTTCACAAATTTTAAAAAATCCTGATCCTTCTGTAGGAATGATACGATTTTGCCCAAATTTGATCCGAAGCAACCTTTGTTGAAGGGGAATCAGTTTTGCTTAATTGGTGAGTCTCTGCCACCAATACAGGAAACTTCGTATATTTTTAGAAATCTTACTTCTTCTGTAGGAATCATTGAATTTTGCTCAAATTTAGTCTGAAGCATGCATGGGAAAGGGCAAATTTTGTATACACCTTTGGTCTTGGCCCCTCAGGGTAGGAAACAGAGAGAATTCTTTGAAGCCCTTCTCCTTCCGTAGGTTTGATTGGATCTTGCTGAAATTTCACCTGAAATATCCTTCGGTTAAAGGGACTTAAATTTGAATAAGCGATGGGTTATGGCCCCCTAAAGCAGGAGGGGCAGGGTTCATTTGGAGAAAAAGAGCAAATTCTTTAAAATCTTACTTCTTCTGTAGGAAAGTCAGGATTCTGTACCAATTTGGTCTGAAGTATGTATCCTAGTGTAAATCATGTGTAAATAGTTGTTTATACTACTGTGGGGCCAGAGGGTTGGAGACCACTAGGGGAAATAGAGCAAAGGGAATGCCTGGATTCTGTCCCAGTTTGACGTGAAGCATCCATGGGTGAAAGCTTAAAGGGATTTAATTTTGTATACACAGTGAATCTCGACCCTTATAATGGGAGGGGCAGGACCTATTATAGGTCAAATTTTTAAAAATCCTAGATTTAAAAAAGTTTGGATTAAGCAATTTCAGTAAAGCAAAGCCAACTTGTTTCAAATGATAATTAAATACTACACATGAATGAATTATTCAGAATTTCAGTTTTGAATCTTTATACACCTTTATGATATCACCTAGATGAATTTTTGTCTTAAATCAATATTGCTATCTGGCCAACATGAGACTGGGAATAATAATAGGGTCTTTACATCGACAAAGCTGGAGAGGAAGTTTTAGCATACAGGTAGATTAAATAGGTGATAAGATTTCATTTTAGACCTTATTCAGTGATTTATGTTGACAAACACTATGGGGGACATTTGATAGTTATAAAAGTACAGAATTACACTTATCTGTATTAACAGGTCTTATGACTGGTTTCAGTCAAAAACTCGCATTTGGTGTCCGTTGAAATACATTATATTTTGATAAATAAATTACCAAATAAAGGTATAGATTATCCTAGTTTGTAAAGCAAAAACCATGATGAAATTTGTATTGGCCATTATCACTCTGCATTGACCCCATTAAATCGCTGTAACTTAGACCTGGAAACAAGCCAAAAAAATGCCTGGCTGAGACAGGGCGATAAACGATGACACAGCTTAAGTAAAATACAGTTGCACAGCATTAAGATTCTAATTGTCTGTAATCCCTCAACACTGTTTAAGATAATATATGTATGTACATTATGTGGATATTTTCAATATGTCCTTTTAAGAATTGACACCCACACACAGCATCACAAGGTCACTCTAACACATACTGATACATGTAGACTCTAAAAGGTCAAGTGTTCTTACAGACAAACGTTCAAAAGTTCACTGACAAAGGAAATGCCTGAAGTTTATAGTCTGTTTTGTTCTTTTCTGGGAAAGCTGCATAAATGAAAAAATAATACACCGATGCAGGATGAGAATTCTGGGAAAAGTTCATTTTCAAAGAATCTGACAGCTATTTTCTTTTCTAGGAACTGACTGAGGTGAAAATTTCCTTATATGGTATGGCTAGCAGTGTGTCTATGATCAGATGGTCCCATAGCTATTAGTCTGTCTGAGGGCACATACAAACCATGCACGTTAGCTGCATTGTTATCTTATGCTGACACTTTTCCCCAGAATCAGAGTAATTAAATTCCAGTATTTATCTGGCTGGTTATTAATAAGCCCATACCTGGAGATAAGCCCACTTGTGGTTATAAGCTGATGCCTGGTTATAAGCCCATGTCTGGTAATTCATGTCTGGTTATGAGCTAATTCCTGGTGATGACCCCATTAAATTCCAGTATTTATCTGGCTTGTTATTAATAAGCCCATACCTGGAGATAAGCCCACTTATGGTTATAAGCTGATGCCTGGTTATAAGCCCATGTCTGGTAATTCATGTCTGGTTATGAGCTAATGCCTGATGATAAGCCAATGTAAGTCTATACCTGGTGATAAGCCCATGTCTGGTAATTAGCCTAAGCCACGTAATGGGCTCATACATGGTAATAAGCCTATGCATGGCAATAAGCCTTCACCTTATTATAAGCCCATATCTGCTAATAAACATATGCCTGGTAATAAGCCTATACCTGGTTAAAAGTCCATGTATGGCAATAAGCCCATACCTGCTACTAAACCTATGCCTGGTTATAAGCCTATACCTAGTTAAAAGTCTGTGTCTGGCAATAAGCCCATACCTGCTAATAAACCTATGCCTGGTAATAAGCCTATACCTAGGTAAAAGTCTGTGTCTGGCAATAAGCCCATACCTGCTAATTAACCTATGCCTGGTAATAAGCCTATACCTAGGTAAAAGTCTGTGTCTGGCAATAAGCCCATACCTGCTAATAAACCTATACCAGGTAATGATCCCTTTTCTGGATACAAATCTATTCCTGGTAAAAAACCCAACTGTGGTATTAAGCTTATGCCTGGTTATAAACACATGTCTGGTAACAAGCCTATGCCAAGTTGTTAGACCATGACTATGGCTAGTTATAAGCCCATGTCTGGTTATTAGCCTGTACCTGGTACGAAACCCAAGTCAAATGTCCATTAAAAGTTTTGTAGTAATTTTCTCTTTTCCCAATATCTCAAACAATTGAGATGAAGTACAGATGTATGCTTTCAACAATAATTTTTTGTAGGATTTTTTTTTTGTAGCAAGTCCACAAAGAGAAATAAATGTAGTTGTATCTCAAAATTTGAATGAACCCAACAAGAAGAGCATGTACATGAGTCCAGGACTTACACATTTGTGTCATGAAAAAACCCACTGCCTAACAGCATCTCTGAGATAGCCACTAGAGAAAGAGACTACTGTTTAAAGCCTCAGTGCCCCTCTCAATATCACATGAGATCATACACGTGGAGGTATTAGCAGGGTGGCACAAACCAGTAGTTACTGTCAAATAGAGTTGTACACAAAATCCACACATTAAAATTTGTCTTTCTTCATTGATAATCGATTGTATGAGCTATGTGTTGTATCTGTACCGAGTACTATAAATCATAGATAATTACCAAGTTTCAAAGTATAGTGTGCAAAATAAACATTGATGAAGAATTTTAAGGCTATATCTCCACTACTTCAGTTACAAAATTAAACAAATCATTTTTTTTTTATTATTTCTATACTTGAAATGTAAAGCACTGTTCTGTATTACCTTTTGAAAAGTCAAAATTTATTATCAAAAATATCGTGATTAAGCTCTCCATAAATCCTTAACTCAAGTAGGTTGGTACATTTATTTGTGTTTGTGACCTTCTGCAGATTTTCAGTGTATCATATTTACTTCCTTGTATTTTTACAGGCAGTGTCCGTCTATATACCACCAAGGCATACAGTTTGTACTAGGACGTTTATATAACAACGACAAGGAAATCAATGTGCTATTCACACGAGCTTTATCCACGAGGATATAGACCGCCGTCTGATTCATTGACAGTCACTTGAGTACGGCCTGATTTTAGCAAGGATGTAGAAGGAAATATTTGTGACAATTATTTTCTGCAGTGCGAAATTGACACATGTTGTACTAAGCTTAACACATACAGGAACAACTTAAATGACAGGGTTTTTTTTACCTCAGAAAGCTCTTAGTGACTTTTTTGTAACCTGGACCATTCATAAGTTGGAAAAGGTTTAAAGATATGACGGATGAAGAAGATTTTGAACCAGAAAGTATCATTGTTTGTCAGACTGATCGTGGTACACGTACATTCATATTGTCAGCACCAAAACATTGTCATGATCTTAACCAGAGAGAAATACCGGATGCAGACATACATCTACAGAGATCTAGAAATATGGAGGACATTAAAAATGTGATAGCATTTAACAATGCAAGGTGTGCAAAGCAAAAAGAAGATTCAACGATGGAGGAGTTCAAGAAAGATGGCGATCCCTGTGTTATGGATTGGATGAAAAAAATTCAGGAGAATGATTTCAAGGGAAAGTCAAAACGGAGTATCACTATTAAGGATGAAAAGTCAGATTTGAAAGAAGAGTATAGTTTGGTGGAGAAATCTGATGGGGCTGAAAAAGAAACATCGGAGGAAAAAGTTTTTCCTGTGGAAAAGAATGAAAAAGATATTTCTAAGCTGAAAGACATGTTCAAAAATAACAAAAGTCTGGACAAGAAATTGAACAAGAAATGGAATGATCAACAGATGTATGGCCGGGGACAAAAGTCAAATGATGTTGTAAAACAGAGTCAAGATAACAGGTATTTGATTGTTTAATGGAAGAAGACATTGCTTAATTTGATTTATCTGATAAAACCAAATGATTGTAAAGATACATTTTAGCTCCAGTATAATGCACATCACAATAGATCTTTGACTGTGTATTACTTCACACTGGTTGTTAGTAATATTTATTGCTGACATTGTTAATAATATTTATGGCTGACTTTAAAACAAATTTGAAAAATTAACTTCAATTAAATAATTTACATTTGATGTCAGTAATATTTATTGCTGACTTTAAAAGAAACACATGATTAACCACAATATACTAATGTATCAGAATAATGCATTGTGGGGTGTATTTAGGATATTTACTCATCAACAACAAAGATGTTTTCAAAAAAATGGAAATAATATAATACAAGCCTTTCCAGCCGACTTTAGGGTGATGAAAACTAATAGGCGATATGTTTTGCATGTATTTTATGCGAATATGATGTGTTGTATCATGAAATAACAAAGCAATATCAAAAACTGAATTCAAAGACAAATATCTGGATATGTTTGTAAGTCATATGATGAATTGTGACCATCAGGAGACCATTTCTTTAGCATCTTTAGCTATTTTTAGCAACTGATTATAAAATCTTGAAAATAAGACATGTCGTATTGTAATTTCTCTCAAGGTATCCCAGGCTTATTTTTGAAGATATATTTGGAGCCATTTTTTGACTGTATGGCTTATTCTGAAGGTGGCCTTATTTTTGAGACATTTTAAAAAAATATGAAGGAAAGGTTTACTAGGCTTCAACATTCGTAGTTATGGTTACTCAGATATATATGTCTAGCAACAGACTTTCTGTATTGATACAAATCAGCTTGTTAACAGTAAAAGTCATACATATTCACCTTATTCCTAATAGATATTGGCTGCAAGAAGCCAAAGACGTTTTTCCAAGGATAGTTTGTTTTTCAAGTTAGGCTTATTTCAAGATTTTAAAGTATTGTATCATGAAGTAGTAAAGACATATATAAAGTTTGAAGCAGAAGTCACTTTATGGCCAAATGCAATATGATTTGTGAAAAATCATTGCACTCTTGTAAAATCCTTTGTCGCAGGTGTTCTCCTTAATATGAGTCTTGATCTGTAGTGTTGGTTTATATGTACCGTGGTTGAGAAAATTTACTATGAACTGATCCGAAAATAGAAAACAGAATATACTGAATGATTTTAAATATTTATGAAGAAATTTTGAAAATTATCATTGATATTAGTAATCTCAAATATAAGACATTAGATAAAAGATGTTTTATGGTTATGAGATATACACAAGGTTTTTTGCTTTTGGAAAAGAGTTTTCTACTTGATCATGAAAAAAAATCTTCATTGAGATTTTAATGCCTTTCATTTGACCAGAATGAAATCGTTGAAAAGCTGCCATATGATTCCAGAGAATTGATCATGAGCAAGAGAATTTAAAACGTGTTGCCATATTTCTCTTTGAATCTCAATTGATTGACAGAAAAAAAATACAGGATTTGTAGGTGTGTCAAATTGACATTTACATTTTATTTATTTTTTTTTTTATATTTTTAGATATGCATCATCTGAAGGTGTCCATGGGGAAATGAGAGTAGAAGATGAAACACCTGTTAAAGAGCTTGTGTTTGTTGCTGTGGAAAATGAGCACACTTTTGAAAGTTTGCAGTCCAACGCCTCCATTTGTTTGATGACCAGGACGGATGAACTGGATGAGAATCAGAAGAAGAATGATCCAGACAAAGATGATGATGAAGCAGAGAAAACAGATCAAGTTAAACCAGAGGAGTGGAATGTTGCTGATGTGGAGTTTCCTCTTAATTTGGAAAGTCTAGAATATGAGAGTCTAAATGATAAACGACTACGTATTGACAGTCTGAATGAAGATAACCATGTACCTTCCATAAACATCAGCAGAAATTCTACTACAAGCCCAGGTTCTGATGATTTTCTTACCTTGTCTGAACTGTTGAACGGTGATGAAGACAAAGACACAGACTGTTCAATTGTCAATTTGGACAAAAATGGCAAAAAGGTTCTCAGTTCTTCAAGTTTAGATACCTCCTGGTCTTCAGCATTGATGGAAATGAATGGCAAAATAGAAGAAGATTTTGACCAGAGGATTAGCCTGGACAAAAACAGCTTGCAGTCTGGTGATTTGGAAAATGCAGATACCAGTTGTGATGATGATGTTGAAAAAGAGCAGCTTGTCAAACTATACCAGGAAGGAAAGGAGGTTTCTGGTGAAATTGATGACATAGAAAATGGTAGTGATTGTACAGAAGACAGGCTTAATGCTGACCTTGAGGTATTAACACAGAAGAAATCGACACTGTTGAGTATATGTAGACGAGAACTGAATGACATTAAAAACCTTTGTCTGATGATGACCAACAGCATTCTGCCTAAATGTACTGAAGGTAAGGTAAACAATTTTGCCATGCAGTAAATGCTAGACCTGTGATTATGTGTCCTAATTATCTCCCTTGATTTTGGGATTGCTTGATACTTAAGGATGCTTGCATCAATTTATAATAATAAAAAATTGATCAGGAATAAAACAAATTGAAATAAACATTTATTATCTGTAGAGAATCTTAGTTTGTATTTCAATCTTCTACTATTTAGATAATCTTGAGTTTCTATCTTCTTATATTTAATGATGTCAATAAGGTAGAATTTTGTAATTCTTAAAGTTTTATTAGAAAATATATTGGCTGTTGGATTGATAATGAAGAATTGTAATTTTTGTTCAATTTTATTAAACTTCCTTTACCCATTCAGTGAAGATAAAATTTATGATAACTTTATAATGTGGATAAAAAAGATGAAGCTTTAATCATTGATGCTGTTGACATATGGAAACATCAAATTTGTACTTCATTCCTACAGAAATGGACACAACTACTGAAGTTTCTTTACTGAAGGGAGACAACTCATTCAGCAGTCTGGAGGAAAAACAGTTTTTTGAAGTCAAAGAACTGGAGGAGCTGACTGGTGGTTCACAGAATGAAAAGGAACAACTGGACATTTTTGTGGCTGATTTGTCTGCTCGACAATGCAAAGTTTATCAAGGTTATTATACATACCAATTGCAACAAAAATGCATTTCTGTTTTCTCTAATTGATGGTTTAGTGGCTGCAATGGTTAAGTTGTTAAAATATCCACCCCTGGGTCGAGGGTTAGAGGCCTACATTATGTACTGGCTACAGGTTGGTATTTTTTCTCTAGGAACTCCACCACCCAAAATCTGGCACATCCTTAAAAGGCATTGGCTGTAAATAGGAAGTAATACAGTAGACTGAAATAAGCACATTTATTATTTTAAGAAATAGGAAATGGTTATGAAAACTAACTTGCTCACATTATCAATAATTCTGTATAGCAGGTGATCTATCAATGAATTTTACAACCACTGAACTTCAATGTTGAGCACTGTTAATTGCTTTCAATCTGGTAAGACTTTGAATTAAGATCTGGGTCCACTGAAATTGGAATAACATTGAACACTGCCATATTTCCAAACATTTTACTTTGCTATATGTTTCGACATAAATTTTTCATCAAGGATGTGTCAGAAATTTGAACATAATCTATAACCAAATAGAATGATCTACCATGAAATATATAATGACTACCATTCAACAAAAATGGTGGCTATTGCAGATTTGGTTATAGGCTAGGCCTACATATCTTCAGATGAAGATTAAAGCTGTGTGGTTCAGTTTGTGTTTATCAGAAAGCTGAGACTGGCCGACTTGGTTCTGTCCTTGTGCTAGATATTCTACCCGAATTGTTCTGGATTGCGTGCGATGGTCATCCCTTATGTTATTTCATTAGGTAGCTACCAGCTGCTACAAGGTGATCCCACCTGAAAATGACTCTGGCTGAACATGGAGTGATATATCAAGAAATCACACCTATTAACAATTGGAGTTAAGGAAAACTTACTGGTTCATGTTATAACGATTTGTTGCAATTTGTATTCCAATCTATAAACAACACAAACACATCTTGCAAACTGAACATTTTACGTTGATATTCTTTATAAAGGGCTTTCAATGCAGTTAAGAACAGAAAAGAAGCTCAAGAAGAAGTTAAAACAGCTAGAGGCTATGTTTCTAGAGGAGTGCAGCACTACTCTAGTTACACCAGGAAAACCTACCATTGAGGCTGTTTTTACAAGATTGGAAACCAAAGACAAGGTTACCAGTATGCCATGGAATGAGAACTTTCCTTTGAAAAAAGAAAAATGGATGTCAGGTCTGCTGAGAGCTAAACATTACTCTCAACTTCCATTTAGTGGAAGCCAGACCTTCCAAGGTTTAAAATGCAAGGGAGATACCTTGAAAAGGCAACCGACAGATTCTGAAAGCAGTTGTCAAGGGAATGGATTTGGAGAAAGTGGGGGTAATCAGGTAGGTTTCAAGGTTATTGGTCTGTAAAGACTGTATTTGTTAGAAAAGCTGTCAAAACTGGTAACACTCTGGAGGATCCTTATACATGTATAACTATTCCTGTGTGAATCCTGTAATCCAGAGCCTTTATAAAACAATCATTTTCATTCAGATCCTAATATAGTCAATCATTTGTGAATCCTGTAATCAAGAAGCTATATAAAACAATTCACCACCTATAGCCATTTTCTGTGCAGAATACAATTGTAACGAACGACGTCTCGCGACCCGCTAGTGGCCGCCCCGCGGACGTCACCTCTGTAGTTACAATAATAAAAGTGCCCAATGGGTTCGACTGCCGCTTTCGCTTGCAGTTTTCACTAACAAATTTCGACCAAGTACTGGCAATAATGACGAGAAGAATTAAACAGATTCAACAATTTATTATATATTTTACAAGAGTAAAGTTTAGCATGAAAGACATTTAACCGGCTCAGTGAGTATTTTAAATTAACCATAACACATGTACAGAAGCCACCTGAAATGAACAAACTTTTACCTAAACTAACTACCAGACAGGAACCAATGTCGTGGTTGTCGAAATTCTCTAGCTAAATTAACTCTCGGCCCACGGAATCTGACACCGTTCCTCGGAGCGAGTCTCAAACCTCGCCGAACGGACAAATCTCCGCCACGTGACCGACTCCAAATTTACAAAGTCCAACTCAACACTACCGCCTTCTCCTACGTTCGTCTTGGCGAGGGGGGCACACACAATTAGCATCACCGAACGAGAGAAAACTACTCCCCGAGAATACCAATTCTCGAATTATCCACTATTTAACAAAATTTCAACAGCTAGCGAACGTTCCCCTCAATCACGACACGAGGTTCCAGCCAAAACTTAAGTCTGCATAAATCGAAAAATATACCAAATTACACGGTCGGAAATCAAACCTATCGGGTTGTAGGTGGCAACTGGTTACCCTGCCTGAATTTCAATACCGACCTATCGTATTGGCCTCCAAAGGAAGAGGCTGTGACGTCACTTTTTCTCCTAGAGTTCCTCGCTTCCTCGGACAGGGTTGTAGTAAATTCCGGAAAACGACACGAAGCGACCCACGGGGCGCTACACAATTATGTGGAGGAAAGGAAATAACTCTAGTACGCATGTTCTCGCAAGTAGATATACTCGGTTACTATTAATAGCATTATTTTAAGCTAAAATGTGGATTCCATACACGTTTTTGTGCAATGACTGTAGTCTAATATAGTAAAGGATAATTTCAACAGGCAGGTATAACAGACAGGCTAAGTGGGACAGGTGTTTTCATTGTTCAAGTAATAGGTGTAATGATTGATTGGTAGCAAATTAAATGTGAAAATTATAGTGTGTTTATTTTTGAAATAGATAATGAAGTTTTTTTTTTAAATTGTTCATTGATTTCTAGTGAAATTGTCACCTGGATCCCAAAACATTTCACTAATTTTTTCTTTTTTGCTTCGTATTCAGAAATCCTCAAACGACAGGAATGGGAACAAAGAAGGGGACAACAAAGAAAATGCAAGAAATTTTGATGATGAAAAAGACATGAATAAACAGGTAAAATTTGGTGTTCAATAATTTTAGATCACACTTTAAAATTACTATGTGATGAAGTTAAACATATTGTGCTGTGTCTTAAATTTGTCAATATTACTAGAAATTTCTGGTACAAGTCAACAGACATTTTATTAAAAACAATTCCATTCTTATTCGACAATAAGCCTTAACCTGGTAAGAAGGCCACTCATATCTGTAACTGTCAGTTAAACATTTCAAGAAATATTACATAATTTTATATATATATATATATATATGTATATACATAAACAGCCCTTCTACTATACTTTGAGTAAGTGATATGTGTTTGCTATCATGGATTATAAAGTAAAAATTGTAAAAATGTTATACAAGCACACACAATGTTACATTGTAGACATGTTCAAGTGTTAAAAAGAAATGGACAAAGTGATTCTTCTCAATTACAGGAACATTCAGCTGAAGGCAACAAGAATGAAACGCCTACTGCAGAGAATCCCACGAATAATCCAGCTCCAGCGGCCAACTTCAAATACCGTAAGAAGGAGGAGGAAGAAAGACAAATGGACACTTATTTAAAATTAGTGGAATTAAAAGAGGTACGTTGATAGTGTATTCAATAGTTAGTTTGTTTAAAAAAATTGATATGATTAAGAAAATTTTTTTTTTAAAACTCAGAGTGTCAGAGACAAATATATATCTGCACCATGTGTCTATGAGGAGAATATTTTTGTACTTTCAACCTGATTATTGATCATAGTTTATATATTTTCAATTGTAAAATTTCAAAATGTTGTTATTAATAGCAATGCTGTAGTGTTTACAATAATTATGATAGAGATATAATGAGGGTTACCTATTTAGTATTTACGGTACTAGTCTTACATATGGCTCTCATGATTAAATAACAGGAAAGAATCACCTATTACATCATAGAACCATAAGACTTATAAATGTTAAAAATTATATTCAACCTTCAAAATTGTCAGTATTAAAAATGAAAATTATAAAAATGTTTCCTAAGAAATAGCCACAAATGTATGCAGATGTGCCTTTTTTAGCCCAGGAACGGTGAACTTGTGCCATAGCATGGCATCTGGCATCCAGCATCCGTCGTTTAACACCTTTTCGCTCAAAATTGATACTGGTCATTCATGACGGAACAGATTTTAGGGAAGGGGGAGCATGTTGGTGTAAATATAGGTCACATTCCCAAAGAGCATAAGGGACGGGTCCAGAACAGGACATTTTTGAAGTTCTTTAAAATTCTGCTCCTCTTGTAGAAACGATTTGCTATTGCCCCAATAGTCTGAAGTGTTCTTGGATGAAGGGGAATCAATCTTGTTTAAAAGTTAGGTTTTCGCGCCTAGGGCAGACCCAACAGGGAAATTAAGGGTAAGTTATTTAAAATCCTACTCCTTCTGTAGGAATGATTTGATTTTGCCCACATTTATTCTGAAAGTTGTTGCATAAATGGGAATCAATCTTTTATAAAAATTAGGTCTCGAATACCAAGGGCGGGATGGACGGGTCTAAATTTTGGAAATACAGCAAATTCTTTAAAATCCTACTCCTCTTGTAGGAATAAATTGGTACTGCCCAAATTTAGTCTGAAGTATTCTTGGATGAAGGCAAACAAAAGTTTTATAAACATTGGGTCTCAGGGCCCAAAAAGGGAAATTTTGCAAGTTCTTTAAAAATCTTACTCCGCTTTAAGAAATGTATGGATATTGCCCATATTTAATATGAAACAATTTTTGGCAAATCAATATGTATATATGGTAGGTTGATGCCCCCTTGGGTGGGAGGGGCAGAACCCTATAATAAATTCTTTAAGATCCTACTCCTCCTGTAGGAATGATTGGATTTTGCCCAAATTATGTCTGAAACATACTTGGATGGAGGGAAATCAATCTTGTTTTAAAGTTTGATTCAGTCCCCTGGGGTGGGAGGATCGAAGTCCAATAGGGAAAGATGAACAAAATATTTAAGATTCTACTCCAGTAGGAATGATACCGTTTTAATCAAATTTCGTCTGAAGCATTCTTGGATGAAGGGAAGTCAGTTATGTAAAAACGATAGATCACCAGCTTCCTAGGATGGAAGAGGTAGGAGGGACCAAATTTGGTCTGAAGCATTCCTGGGTGCAGAGGAATCAGTTCCGTATAAAGAATGGATCCCAGCCTACTGGGGCAGGAGGGATGGGGCCCAATTGGGGAAATCCTTCTTCCGTTCAAGGATATTGTCCAAGTTTGATCTGAGGCTGTTTTTATAAAAAGTAATCTGACTTCTGTTTGACCACAAGGCCAGGACCTAATAAGGAATTACTTCAGAAATTATTTGTCATATTTGAAATTCTTTGTTAAATGACTGAAAAGCTTAATTAGCTAGATGAGTGATACAGGCCCTTTGTCATCATTCATTTCCTTAAAATGCATAAGGTTGAGCATGGATCTATTCGGAAAATGAATAATAGATAGTATTTATACAAGACAAGTTTTATGTGTCTAATTTGAAAAACAGTCTGACAAACAAAATGTTTAAGATTGTATTTCATTTTCTTTCTAGGACATACCTCCTGATATTATGAAAGAAATTGACAAATGTTTGGTGGCCTGCTTGAATTCAAGAAAAATTGGTGGAAGTGATGTTGTTTCAGATTGCAGCATTTGCGCTTTACTGTATTCCCTCATCAGTCATTTTGGCAATTGCCCGAGTGATTACAACAACTGTGATAGGTGCCAGCGCGCATTTTGCTTGGTTTCCAAACATCTGCAGTTATGTATGGAGTCTAGAATCAGTGAAATGGAAGAAGTTTGCACATTAAAGATCTGTCAAAAAATCCAGAACAAATTCAAGAAGCAACCAGAGAAGATATCTCAACGTGGAAAAGAACTTTGGCCAAAATTGAAGAAATATCTAGCACGTTTTTCTCGAGGACCAGAAGATATTTCGATGGATGAGGGAGATGATTTTTTCAGCCTGTCGAGTATTCCATTAGGCAGCATTGGGGGATTACCATCACGTGTGTCCAGAAACAGCATTGTCTTCCAGCAAAACTTAGAAAGCATTTCGGAAAACACAACGGCTAGACATCTTACTGGATCTCGATCTGAGCCATTTGCTAGAAAATCTGAAACTGGTGAAATACTTCATTCTAGAACTTTTCGACCTCGCCCATCAAGGCTGTCCGTTACTGATGAAAGTAAATCGCCTTATCCAGGTCAATCAAGGTCAGCTCCCTTGGCAAGAAAAACAGAAGGGAAGATAATGTACTCACTGGACCCTGATACACTTCCAAAATCAGAACGTAGAGTGTCCTTTTCCAATAACCAGGTAGAGGTTCACACTGTCAGATATCCACTATCACCAGAAGAACCACTTCAAAGCATTGCGGAGACTGCGCAATGTGCTTCTTTAAATACTGAGAAGGTCTATGGTGGGGATAGGACAAGTAGTCTCCCTTCAAATTTTTTTCCACCAAACAAGCTAGATGATGAACAGTTGATATCAGTCCAAATGAGACCATCAGGATACCCAGGGATTGGAGAGGTAGTTTATGCCTTCAAGGAACAGCTTCGTTATGTTGCCCGGCACTGGAAAAAGATCAAAGAAAATTTCGAGAAAGACAAAACATTGGAGAAGAAACACTTACGAGAGGAAGGTGTTATACTTACAGAAAACAAGGTATTGTTCTCAGGACATTATTCTATCTTATAAAGAAAATTGATTACTCTATATATTTTAAGCCACTTTCAGGCACTTCATAAGTTATGGAGTTCTTAACTTAATGACCTAAATATTATAACATTTATAACACAAAGATTGTCTTATAAAATAGAGCAAGTGTTTTAAGCAAGGTTAAAAATGAAGGGAAATTCTAAGTGAATGTCAGAGAAGAGACACCAAAGTGCTATTAAAGACAACTGAGTAAATTTTTTATCATAATTATTATTTGTCAGAAATATTTTTACAGTTTTTCTTGCTTAAGATCTTTCTTAACATTTTAAAAGTACACAATGTTCATATGCAAAATTACATACATTGTAGATCACTATTAATTATTTTCATCTTCATTTTTCTTTTTGTAGGATAAGTTTTCCATTTTTCGGACACGTTACCAGAAGAATTTCCAGTGGATCCGTTTGACTCACTTAGGGACTGGAATGTCAGGCAAATGTCACTTGGCACAGGACTACTACACAGACTTCAAGTTCTGTATCAAGAAAGTGGGTCTATACTTAATATATTTTCCAAAATTTTGGTTAAATAATTTTAACTCCACTTTTTTACTATTGTACAAAACGATAACTTCTTGTTGTTTTGTTCCATCATTCCCGCAAAAAAATATTGGTCTGCATTTTTCATTCCAAAATTAAAAAAAAAGGTTTTTATGATGTTGGTCTGTTATTTTTTCTTCAGTTATGGTTATTATTGCATAAAATAGTTTTTTTTTTTCATTTTTGCCTGCAAAATTTTACAATTTAATGAACTCTTATATCAACTTTTCCTGTGATGATTTAACTTGTATTTTCAACCAATCACCATGATACATAAGATGGTGGACTATTTAAATTGCCCTACGTCCCTGGTTTGTTGTCTCTCCGTAAACAATTTTTGTTATTGCTATTTCTTGAGAAGTCCTTGATTGTTCCCCTTGGTCACTAGTTGTACTGGTTTGAGTTTAGGACTAATCAGAAAAACAGATATCCAACTAGTGGCCTTCTTGGATTTTTTCATTAAAGTTTGTTATTGCTGTTTCTTGAGAAGTGCTCGATCGATCTTTCTGGAATCTCATGTAGATCCTCCTTGGTCAGAAAAATAAAATAGCGGACAGGCAGCCATTTTGGACTTGGCAGTTAAAGATTAATATCACTATTTCTTTAAAGGATTAATATTCTGATTTGTTATCATTAAGAGCAAAAACAGAAAACAGAAGAGAAAGAACAAAGAAAGTTCAAACAATGGTGGGATTCCTCTTGAATCTCTTGTTACTTGCTGCATTGAAAGTGAAACTTTACCATGGACATAGAAATGTCTATGTCTGTGGCATTTTAAGCTTAAATAAGTCAGTTTTTCATCAGTATGTTTCAGACTTTTTCTAATTTGGCATATAAAAACAGTTTTATGAGTAATTAGTGTTAGATTATATAGTAGTAAAATGCAACATAAAGCAGCTGATTCAAGATGGTGTTGTCTTGTTTGTTGGCACAATGTCAAACTACCCAACATTAAACAACATGCTAATATGTCTCAGACTTTGAGATTAAGTTTTTTGTGTATGCCCATGGGCTCTTTATAGAACTCAGTATTTTTTCAAACCTTTCATGTTTTGTTTTGTTTCCAGATACACATTCTCAAGTTTGATGAACGCGAGCTGGATATCTGGAGTGATCTCTCTCACCCAAATATTGTCCAACTTTATGGGGCTTTACGTCATGGACACAACATCTATATTGTGGAGGAGTTTATAGATGGTAAGAGTTTATCACAAAAGCTGGTGTACGTAATTGACTTTCAAAAATCTATCTGTATTTGGATAATGAAACATTATATATTAACATTGTGAAATTCTTGCAAACTCCATTTTTTAAAAAGTTAAGTGATTTCTTCAATTTCATTAGTATTTTACAGTTTTTGTTTTGTGTAATGTTGAATTGAATTTTTATCTCACCATCATCAGATGGTGGGGTATTCAAATCGCCCTGCCTGTGGTCCGTCCACCTAGGCGTCCATCTGTCGTCCGTCCATCCATCTGTCAGTAAACAATTATTGTTACTGCTATTTCTGGAAAAGTACTGGATGGATCTTTCTCAAATTTCATATGCAGGTTCCCCTTGGTCCCTAGTTGTGCATTGTACCTTTTTGGGACTGATTCGAATTCAAGATGGCCGACAGGTGGCCATCTTGGATTTTGGAAGTAAAAGTTTGTTACCGCTATTTCTTGGAAAGTACTGGATGGATCTTTCTCAAATTTCATATGCAGGTTCCCCTTGGTCCTTAGTTGTGCATTGTACCTTTTTTGGATTGATTCGAATTCAAGATGGTCGACAGGTGGCCATCTTGGATTTTGGATGTAAAAGTTTGTTACTGCTATTTCTTGGAAAGTACTGGATGGATCTTTCTCAAATTTCATATGCAGGTTCCCTTTGGTTCCAAGTTGTGCATTGTACCTTTTTGGACTGATCTGAAATCAAGATGGCTGACAGGCAGCCATCTTGGATTTTGAGAGTAAAATCTTGTTACTGCTATATCTGAGGAAGTACTGGATGGATCCTTCTGATATTTCATAGATATTAGTCCCTAGTTGTGCATTGTACCTTTTTTGGACTGATTTGAAATCAAGGTGGCCCACAGGCCGCCATCTTGGATGTCGACAGTAATACAGCACAAGCATATTGTCCATTATCCACCTGTAACTGACTGCTATCTAATAACACTTTGGGATCTTTTTCAAATGATATTTGCTAATAAGTGCTTAATAAAAATATCTTGTGCCATCATTGAGTACATTCAATGAAGACCAGTTCATGAACATTTACAACACCTGTAACAAACAAAACAAAATAAACAAATCTTCAAGAACTGAAAATAGATCCTCAAATGGTGGGTGCCAAGATCCCTCTGGGATCTCTTGTTTCCTCTCTAAAAATTTATTTTTGTCTGTTTTTCTTATAATAACACCATTATAACATCTAAGTAAATATGAATCAGTACCTACTTTTGTAATTTGATTCACACCTGTTTGACATCATCTATATTAAACCATTAAGCATTTTATATATTAGTAATATACACTGTAGCTCGAGAGGCTGTATCAGGACGAGGCACTGCCTTTATTATGCATGGGTCAAAAAATTAATTCCTACATTAAAAATGATTGTGAACTATGAAATGTCTCAGATGATAAAGTATTGAGTTTTGAGGGGTCAAGATTGTGAACTATGAAATGTCTCAGATGATAAAGTATTGAGTTTTGAGGGGTCAATTTTTTTGCTTTTGAAGATGAAATTAAATTGGAAAAAAGATCACTTGAAAAGCAATATTAAATTAATCAAGAAAAGAATTGTCAGTTTTAGCACTTGTAATAAAAACACATCCCCGTTGCATCAAGCATTTCCTAAAACAGAGCAAATTCAAACAATCAGAGAAATATTTCTTTCTTAGCCGTAGCTGTATTCTATGTACAGGCATTTAAATTTTTTTAATTTTAATTTTAAATTTGATTAATTTTGCACAGTCTGCAGGGGGTCTTCACACCGCTAGTTTAATTCTGATCTTGTTTGTGTACAGGAGGGTGTCTGACGGAAACTATCAACCTACAAAAGGAAACTGGACATCGTCTGAGTCACTGGACTGCAATGAATTACCTGGAGCAGATTCTCACTGTCTTGGTCTACCTTGAGAAACGGTCTATCATACATGAGGATATCAAAGGTACCATTATGATAAAACAAATCTAAAAATTTAAGGCTCGTTGAAATGAAGAATTTAATTTCGTAAATCAATTATAAAAAGGAAGCAAATTTTTTATCACATAATCAATTGTCTTGACAATTGTTGCACAAAATGTACATTTCCTTGTCAAACTTGAAGTGTTCTTGACTCAATGTCAGCTTGAGTATATTCCCCTGAATTTAATCTTGTGATAATTATGTATATATAAACAGGATGTTAGATAATGAAGAGTTTTCTTTTCATATATTTTATGAAACAACTTTTTAAGATGATTTTCTTTAAGTCTCATTTGAAATGAAAAAAAAAAAAAAAATTTAAGATGCTTTTTATCTCTTAGTTGAAAAATTACTCTTGATAGGTTTTTAAATGAAAATGTAGACTCAGGACAAAATCTGAAGAAGACATCCCTTTTTTTGGTGCCATTTTCATTTCAAGACATAACGTCATTCTCCATATGATGACATCACAATCAATTTCTAACTGGCACAGCCAATCAAAAACATTCCACATTATGTAATGCTAGTGATGAAAAATATGATATGAGTGCATCAACTGGATAATAGGCATATTATGTGATATACATAGATGTATTCGATTTTCAATTTCAGCTGATAATATCCTTTTACGAAAGGGTACCACTAAAATTGTGGTCACGGATTTTGGAGTAGCACGCCGCTTGGAACATGCTTTAAGAGAGGTCAGTCCTGTTGGAACTCCAACTAGCTTTAGTCCAGAGAAGGCCAAGGGCCAAGGTCATGGAGCGAGGTCAGATGTGTGGGCAGCCATTTGTGTCCTTATCCACATGCTGAGTGGTTGGCCCCCATGGGTCAGGCGATATGGAGGTGTTAGCACACTCAATTTCATTGTAAGTCATGTTGTGAAGTTGATCACCTCTTCTTGTATCGTTGTACATATTTCCTATTTTTCAGTATGAAAATCAAAAGTTAACAATTATACTAAATAAGGCTTTATTGATTTCATTTTCCTAGGACATATAAAACTCCAGAAAAGTTGTCAAAGACAGAAAAATGCTTTCACAGCTACAAAACTTTTGGGGAAAAAAGAGGGAATGAATGAAAAAATGCCTTTTTTATCTGTCTGTAAGCCTTGAGGGCCTAAACAAGACAACAGTATGTTTGCTGGCATTTCTTCCAAATCTTGTAGGCGGGCTTATTACCAGGCAGGGAATTGTTGCTGGACAAAGATGATTTGTTGGCTGATATATGGTAGTAACTGTAATTACTAGCAGTGTTCAGACTTCTTATCGATACAATAAATCACAATATATGACAGTGGCTTTGTGGAAAGACAAAGTCACAGTGTGACTCCATTGTTTGTCCTTAATGGTGCTGAGGATGACTATTTTTAGTTTGTTTTGAACAATATTAATTTAACAAGAGATCCCACGGGGATCATGGCACCTACCATTGTTTGATATTTATTTTTTCTTTGAAAGGCAGATCTTTTTCCTTCTTTCCTATTCTTGTCTTTATTTCTGCTCTTTATCGCATCAGATTTTCAATAATCCTGCAGTCGTCTCTGATAATGGGGTTTAAAATAACATACGCATTGGTTCTTGACAATAAATTTCAATACTTTGGAAATAAATTTCATTGTTCGGTTGACAGATTGCAGATAGAGAACCTCCTATCAAAGATCTGCCTGGGAATGTTAGTCGAGATGTTTACAAGCTGGTTGAGGATGCTCTTAAGAAGGATCCGAAGGCACGTCCCTCTGCCAGTCAACTATTGAAACATGAGGCCTTTGATATTCTGACAGGTAATCCAGTGGTGACAATATATAGATATATATATAGGTGTTATGAAATAAAAATGTATGAATTCATTGATCAGGATATTCATTTGTGATTTTACAAAATTTCAGACCTAATTCTCTATCATCAGTTTTGGTAGCCATCACTCAGTAATGGATTTCAGTATTTGTGAGGACAACCTACATCAAAATTTAGGAAATAGAATACACAGAATAAACAGTTTCCTTATCCTAGAGTTATTGCGATAGTGTGGAATTCTGTAATATTTACTTTGTGTTACAGGGGGATCAGCTCCAGAAACATTTGTGTCCGTGCTTGAACCTCGACTAAACACAGATATCAAAATCTCCAATGACGTAGATCAGGCTGTGATTGATGAGGTCAAGGTCCAATATCAACCACAGAATATGTTGTCCGCATTTCAGAATGCCACTGCAGACTCAAAGAATGATTCTTCAGGAACAGAGAGCACTTCAACTTTGACTCCAGGCTCAACTGTATCACACTGTACAGGGGCTTCCAAAGCATATTCATCTTGGACTGGTAATGATTGTACAAAGACTACTCAAGGAGCAAGACCCAAAACCACCAGATTAGACTTATTGCCACACGGATCCATTGGCAGTGCCAAACCCAAACCTAAGTTAGATTTACCTTCAGGTGGATTCAGTGGCCTTGGAGGTGGTGAAATACAGACATCTATGGGAATGGTCACTCCATGCCATCCTCCAACTGTCCCTCAGACTACACGTAACTTGCCTCCAAGTTACCACAGTGATATAAGTGAATTTGGCGTGATGGGACCGCCTGATCCAGCAAAGTATATACAAATAGATCAAGAAACGATTTTTCGAAAGTATATCAATGATGATGGAGGAACAGGAGAAAATTTGTTTCAGAAATACAAGACCATTCTTGAGTTGTATGAACCAGATCCAGAGAGCAATTCCGATTCGGGTGAAGATATCAATGACACACTCCAGAAGTTAGACAGAGGTTTTACCAATATACCAGATTTTCAGAAGCTGCTTGGAACTGCAGTGGATAATGATTATCAGCAAGAACGAGCATCTATGCCTGACATTGTACACCAGATGGTAGTTGATGCCCTGAAATATAATATGAAAGATGCTTCAGGGGAGATAATTAACAGGAATGCTAATGGAGCACTACCAATCAGCTATGATAGATCTGCAGAAGAAGGACAGGAGGAACAAGAGGAGGAGGTTACTCACTCTAAAGAAATGCCTAACTTTGGGTCTTTGCTCAGTGAAAGACAGGACACCAACTCTAACAATGAAAATTTACCATTCTTACCAACTGTTTTGAATTCTCTAGATGACCAGCCGACACTGACTGACCACAAGTCTTCTGCGAGTGAGAATTCCATACAGGAAGGTAGTGAATCCGGTGAGGATCTAAGAACACAGAATGTCTCAAGTTCCACAGAAGATGTCCAAAGTTCTGGAAAAGAGGAAAGTTTAAATAGAATTCAATCAGATCCATCCAACAGTTTGCAAGAATTGGATCCAAATGATTCATCATATCAGAATCCTATGCCAGATGCTAGGTGTATCATACCAGATTTTGACAACCTTATGAGTTCATCGCCTTTTATAGAAGAAGAGAATATTCCCATTGAGGACTTGTTTGGCTCTGGAGATGAAGAGACTGTTAAAGTTCCCACAATCATCAAATTTATCAATGATGTGACTTCAACAGGGCCAGTTAAAAAATATACTGAGCAGTTGTTGGTCATCACTGACAAATCTACTGGTGCTATCACCAAGACAAAAACAACACCACTGCAGCCAGTTACTGTGGAAAAAGGAAGAGTTCCAGTGGAATCGAATGAGCTAAGTCTGTCCCCTACCAAGTCTCCGTCACCAGTCTCACCAAGGATTTCAACACCCCTTGGCTCTCCCCCATTCATTAAGCATAACAAGAAACAGCTGCATCTGAATCTGAGCCCCAGCAAGAGGAAGACTGACCGTCAGACTTCAGAACCCCAACAGCACTCAAGCCAGTACAAGTCTCCGAACCCAAGGGAAGTCAAGCCTTATTTCACTCCCCAACAACAGATAACATCACCACCTTCCTGGAGAACTGGTAACACACCTCCAAAAAGTGGAGGAACTTCTTCTGCTGGAAAATCAGACTCAAAGTTGGAACAACAAAACAAGGAAAATGAGAACAAGATTGGTAAGTTCTGATGGGAAAAAGTTGAAAAGTATGGCTACCGGGCTGTTTTTGATGCTGTGTCATTGTACAGTTTGAATACATGGATTTTAGCTCAATATTGATGTGTAACAAATAATCACATTTGTGAATTAGCAGTAGTTTTATTTTGAAAGGTTCTTTGGAGTTTTTTACCAAAAAGGCTTAAATTGATGAAGTGATGACGTAGATAATTGATTTCTGTAAAACCATGATGGATAATGATCAATTATGTAATTTCTAAGTATTAAAACATTGTTTATGTAATACATTGTACATACAATGTAGTTGCGAAATTTATTCTTAGACTACATTTGTTTAACTTACAGCGGAATATTTTGAAGAGATATCACGCCACAGTGAGAATTCAAAGTCACAGATTGATGAACTGGTAAGAGAAGAATGATTTATTTTACCCACTTTGTTGAAAGGGGTGGGGCAGGGCATATATTTATCACTTTGTTTGTTTGTCTGCCTGTCTGTCCATCCATACGTCAGTGCAAAGATTTTGTACAAGATATCTTGGGAACCCTTGGACGGATTTAATTCAAATTTACACCATAGCATCACATCATCAGGTTTTACACCTGATCAGATTTTGGTAGCCATCAGTCAAGGTTAAAGGTCATAAGTCACCTTTGTTACATTATTACATGTGAAATATAATTTGAACACTGTCCAGAATGTTAACGTTGTTAAAGTGTTTGTTTTAGCAGTATCATGACTAATCAATCTGTTCACAACATACCATTTTTAGCTCGCCAGGCTTAAATGGCCAAGTGAGCTTCTGCCATAGTGCGGCGTCCGTCAGTCCATCCGGCGTCCGTCCATGATATTTTCTCCCAAATCATTTTAGCCCTTGTATGATTATACAGGAATTCACCTTATGTTCATTTCACCCTCTCAGAATTACATTAAAGGGTTATGTTCATGTAGCAAATTTTGTTCCATCTGAACTTCACCCTCCCTTTTCATGGACTAAACAGAACGAAAATTAAACAAGAGTGAACATTTCTTGGTATACAGTAAAAGATATTGGAGTTAGGTATGCAATTGCTTATCTTGTAAAGGAAATGACCTACTTGGAATATTTACAGATGTGTCAATATCTTAGCTAATTTTCTGCATTTCAGTTAATTAGTATGAGAACTTCTTAAACTCTGAAGGTTCTGTATGTTTAAAAATGAAATTTGAATTTAGGCCTATTTAAACATTCACAGGATGATATGTCTGACCCGGATAATGAGGACATCTCCATAGCTAACGATGACGAGGAGGAGTACATGGCCTCATTGAAGAAGATCCAGATGGAATATGTATCACCAGAAATCAAAAAGTCTGATAGCCAAGGAGCACTGGTTCGTGTGATTACCTCAGAAAAAGAACTCTTCCACATCAAACTTCAAGGAGAACATATTCTGAACTCCTGGGAAGTTATAATTGATAAAGAACTGTCAGATAAGGTCAGTTTTTTTCTTTCTTTCTTTCTTTCATTCTTTCTTTTTCTTTCTTTCTTTCTTTCTTTCTTTCTTTCTTTCTTTCTTTCTTTCTTTCTTTCAATTATTAGCAGTTGTCTCAACTGTACCCCATTAAATTTCAATTTTGAAAGCCTGTCACATAATTGCTAAATATCATATGCAATAAAAACATGTGTTTATTGAATTTCCAACATATCTTGATCTTTTATCATCAAAGACTTATCACCTCTCTACCAAAACTGGTGACAGAATTAGACATGCATTGTATTACCATCCATACTGTAAAATCAAATATTTTTGTGAGGCTCAAATTTCAGGGTTTTCCAAAAAAAAAACCTTATTTTTGTTGGCACGTGATTTCATGGATACACCTTACTCACACGATCCACTAGCACTAGAATCAAATTTATGTAAACTTTTGTTTGTTTTATCTTTTGATGGACATGCAACTTTGTGGATTTAGAGTATGAACAAATTAAACAAAATAATTATCCCACAAAAATTAATGCTTTTACGGTAAATTCCAAGGTTGATATCCATCCCATAGTATCATGCCATAAAGTTCTGTACCTTATCTGTTACTGCTTTGCAATATATATGTCTTATATACGATTTCTAGTTAAGACAGTTATTCCAAACTTCTTTAAAATTGCTTTCACAATATTGTGAATTTCTTGTGGACAATTTATTACCATAATGCTCTTGTAGTCCACAGCAGTGTATTAGTTATTGAAAAAAGGAAATCCATTAATATGATGGAAAAAAGGTTTTATAACCCATATATACTAACACAAATTTTTAAAAACACTATGGTTTTCCATATTCTAGTTCAAATTGATTTTAAAAAGCCATAATCTCATAATTTTGGACAGGCGACTATGTGAGGTCATGATCAGGCTATTTTTAATTTCTAAAGGTCACCCTCATGATGTGTTGAGGTTACTGGAGATCATTGATGTCACATACAATGACAAATGAAAAGTTTAGAATTTCTAGTATTGTATATCTTGATTATACTGTTGTAAATTGTTTTCATTGGCCAATCAAATGTGCTGTTACATCTCGGATCTGAATTGTTATCATTTTCTATCTTTGTTATTAGTAGTAACTGATTTAATTGACTTTCTTTTACAGCTGACTGCAGAGAATATCTCCAATTTCATCTTGGTGGACACGAACGGCGAACCCCTAGATTTAACAGAGAACCCCTGCCGTGGTGAACAGACCGTCTATGTGAGGGAGCCAGATAACAACAGTCCCTGGAGTTGTCGAGACACTGTCATTCATAAAGCATCTTTCTTCTGATTGTGGTGGACTTGAATATTTACTATTCGCCAAGACGGTTTTCCCCAGCTGTAAGGTTTTGTGTCACATGACCAAAACTGGAAGGGTTTCTTCCAGTTTCACTTTTTGTGTTTCCATCAGAAGAAATAAGAGTGACTGAGATAAAATGACAGTAAAATAAGTTTATTCTTGTTTGATCATGTCTGGTCATTTTACTACAAAAAGTTGCTGTCTTCAAATTGATTTAAGATCTGGAGATTTTCGTAGAACCAATTAACCCAATAGACCATTTGTCTGTGTATGTACCAGCCACCTGTCTGAATCTACCACCTTTTTATATCTACCACATGTCTATGTATACCACCTGTCTACTTCCACCATATATCTTAATCCACCATGTTTATATCAACCTCTTGTATGTATCAGCCACCATTCTAAATCTACCATATGTCTATATCTACTACCATATTTTCCGGGTAATAAGCTGCATTTGTATATAAGCCACAGAGCTGATTTTTAACATTTTTTCCAAATTGATCAACATATTAATTGCACTGGAATATAAGCTGCTCCCTTTCTTACAAAGTAGTGACTGTCACATTGACCAAAGTTTGTTGATATAACAGACAGCAGAGGGCAATTTATCAAGCTTGTTGGTGAAAGATTTACCGTAATAAAGCTTGCAAATGAATTATATACAGATAATCATTTATCTTATTGATGTGTTTAAAAAAACGCAAAATAGCAAATATGGAACTCATTTTCAAGCTTGGATGCCTTCACAGATTGTCTACACACAGATACAGGGCCTGATGTAATGTACATTTTACTAAACAATTTCTCCATTGGTCAGTGTCTGTACTGCTAAATGTTGATGAAGGCCGTTGCATGCTGACCAAATTCTTAATAGTCCCATATTATTTTTTATTGTAAGTTACACGATGCTATTAATATTGTAAAAAAGCATGATGGTCAATCTTCAAATTTTCCTGTATAAGACTGAAAATGATAGGTCTAGATGATCTGTTTCAGTCACAATCATGTGACGGGCAGGTACAGTACAGTCTTGTACTGGGGTTCTGGTACCCTTCCTTCCTTCCATTTTTTTTTTTTAATCCTGCCCATTTCTTTTGTCCACATATAAACCACACTGGTGTATAAGCCGAAAAGGCCGACTCCCGGGGAAAAAAAGTGTGGCTTATAATCCAGAAAATATGGTTTTATCAACCACCTGTCTATATCTACCACATGTCGATATCTACCTTCCGTCCCCTAAAAAAATTTCACAGTAGACTGATAGTTTCATCTTTATCTGTATTTGATTTTCTGTTTCATGTTTTACTGCTGTACAGAAAACATTTTCATTGATACAAATGAAATATGCACTTGATGTCAGTTTTTAGCTGCTGAATATCATTGCCATCTGTGATAGCTTTTGATGTGTCCATAGAAATTAACACTTTCTTTTAAATGGGGCCTTGTTCTTGATCTTATCAAGTTTTACAAAGTGTTGAAATAGCAATATATTGGTATAGTGGTCTGATAAGCACTTTATAATCTCTTAGTAATCAAATTTTGGTATTCTTACGTATTAACTATTTTGAAAGGTTGATTTTGGTATGCTCTGGTAATTATTGATATAGATAACAATGAATTTTAATTACATTGTTGAGAAAAAAGATAAACACAGTTTGTATAACACTTGTATCAGTTATCAGCTTTTGGCTGTCACGTTTTCCATGTTAGCTTAACCTCATCATATTCTTATCTAATTAGCTAATGGTTGCCACGATTTTCCATCCATGGCTTTAGATTGTAACAAGTTACCCTCATCAGCTTTAGGTTGTCACAATTTTCCCTCATTGACTTTAGATTGTAACAAGTTACCCTCATCAGCTTTAGGTTGTCATAGTTTTCCCTCATTGACTTTAGATTGTAAAAAGTTACCCTCATCAGCTTTAGGTTGTCACAATTTTCCCTCATTACTTTTAGATTGTAACAAGTTACCCTCATCAGCTTTAGATTGTAACAAGTTACCCTCATTGACGTTAGATTGTAACAAGTTACCCTCATTGACGTTAGATTGTAACAAGTTACCCTCATCAGCTTTAGATTGTAACAAGTTACCCTCATTGACTTTAGATTGTAACAAGTTACCCTCATCAGCTTTAGATTGTAACAAGTTACCCTCATCAGCTTTAGGTGGTCACAATTTTTCCTCATTGACTTTAGATTGTAACAAGTTACCCTCATCAGCTTTAGATTGTCACAATTTTCCTTCATTGACTTTAGATTGTAACAAGTTACCCTCATTGACGTTAGATTGTAACAAGTTACCCTCATCAGCTTTAGGTTGTCATAGTTTTCCCTCATTGACTTTAGATTGTAAAAAGTTACCCTCATCAGCTTTAGGTTGTCACAATTTTCCCTCATTGACTTTAGATTGTAACAAGTTACCCTCATTGACTTTAGATTGTAACAAGTTACCCTCCCTCATTGACGTTAGATTGTAACAAGTTACCCTCATCAGACTTTAGATTGTAACAAGTTACCCTCATCAGCCCTCATCAGCTTAGATTGTCACAATTTTCCCTCATTGACTTTAGATTGTAACAAGTTACCCTCATCAGCTTTAGATTGTAACAAGTTACCCTCATCAGCTTTAGGTGGTCACAATTTTTCCTCATTGACTTTAGATTGTAACAAGTTACCCTCATCAGCTTTAGGTTGTCACAATTTTCCCTCATTGACTTTAGATTGTAACAAGTTACCCTCATCAGCTTTAGATTGTAACAAGTTACCCTCATCAGCTTTAGGTTGTCATAGTTTTCCCTCATTGACTTTAGATTGTAACAAGTTACCCTCATCAGCTTTAGGTTGTCATAGTTTTCCCTCATTGACTTTAGATTGTAAAAAGTTACCCTCATCAGCTTTAGGTCGTCACAATTTTCCCTCATTGACTTTAGATTGTAACAAGTTACCCTCATTGACGTTAGATTGTAACAAGTTACCCTCATCAGCTTTAGATTGTAACAAGTTACCCTCATCAGCTTTAGGTTGTCATAGTTTTCCCTCATTGACTTTAGATTGTAAAAAGTTACCCTCATTAGCTTTAGGTTGTCACAATTTTCCCTCATTGACTTTAGATTGTAACAAGTTACCCTCATTGACGTTAGATTGTAACAAGTTACCCTCATCAGCTTTAGATTGTAACAAGTTACCCTCATCAGCTTTAGGTGGTCACAATTTTTCCTCATTGACTTTAGATTGTAACAAGTTACCCTCATCAGCTTTAGATTGTCACAATTTTCCTTCATTGACTTTAGATTGTAACAAGTTACCCTCATCAGCTTTAGATTGTAACAAGTTACCCTTGTCACAATTTCACAATTTTTCCTCATTGACTTTAGATTGTAACAAGTTACCCTCATCAGCTTTAGATTGTCACAATTTTCCCTCATTACTTTTAGATTGTAACAAGTTACCCTCATCAGCTTTAGATTGTCACAATTTTCCCTCATTACTTTTAGATTGTAACAAGTTACCCTCATCAGCTTTAGGTTGTCATAGTTTTCCCTCATTGACTTTAGATTGTAAAAAGTTACCCTCATCAGCTTTAGGTTGTCACAATTTTCCCTCATTGACTTTAGATTGTAACAAGTTACCCTCATTGACTTTAGATTGTAACAAGTTACCCTCATTGACTTTAGATTGTAACAAGTTACCCTCATCAGCTTTAGATTGTAACAAGTTACCCTCATTGACTTTAGATTGTAACAAGTTACCCTCATCAGCTTTAGATTGTAACAAGTTACCCTCATCAGCTTTAGGTGGTCACAATTTTCCCTCATTGACTTTAGATTGTAACAAGTTACCCTCATCAGCTTAGATTGTCACAATTTTCCCTCATTGACTTTAGATTGTAACAAGTTACCCTCATCAGCTTTAGATTGTAACAAGTTACCCTCATCAGCTTTAGATTGTAACAAGTTACCCTCATCAGCTTTAGATTGTCACAATTTTCCCTCATTACTTTTAGATTGTAACAAGTTACCCTCATCAGCTTTAGATTGTAACAAGTTACCCTCATCAGCTTTAGGTTGTCACAATTTTCCCTCATTGACTTTAGATTGTAACAAGTTACCCTCATCAGCTTTAGGTTGTCACAATTTTCCCTCATTGACTTTAGATTGTAACAAGTTACCCTCATCAGCTTTAGATTGTAACAAGTTACCCTCATCAGCTTTAGGTTGTCACAATTTTCCCTCATTAACCTTAGATTATAAAGATCATCATCATGATGTAAATCTTCAGTGTGGGAGAAATAATGTGAAATTTGTATAACCTCGTTCTTCTATGCAGATAACAATAGGTGTACCTCTCTTTATATTTTTGATACATATTCCTTCAAATGTGAGGGAGAAAAAATAAGTACTAATGTTTCATGCTTCTACTTCTGTGTTATAAATGTTTATAGTGATAAACCTATTTGTTTTCACTGCTACCTTAGCTGTTTTTCTGTTGACATAACTTTGTGATGATAAACCAAGATCATGTTACATTTTGTAATCCAGATTGTTTTTGCTGCTAATGTGAGCTGTATTCGCAGCTTCTGTGTGCCATTTTTCTGTTGCCATAACATTAATGTGATGGTCCAAGATAGAGTTACATTGTAGTCCTGCCTGTATTCGCAGCTTCTGTGTGCCATTTTCCTAAATCCTACATGATGTGCCTGTTTGTTCTTACCACAGATTTTACATAGTATATGTTAAGCTTCAAGCTTTGCCATTAACCACACCCCAGTATCATGAAACAATTTTAAGCCTAAAACTATCCTAAATTTTGAGCTACTTAATTACAGATAACATCATGGAAAGAGACATTTTGTTCAATTGGCTTAACAAACACCTTAGTTTTGGATCGTTTCCTGATCTCCGGCCATATTTTATTTATTCAGATGAACATCAACATGATGTGATATTGTTCTCACTCTTTATTTGGTATTTGATACATTAGTAACTGCCTTCTGAGTTAGATCCAGAATAGAAGTTTTCTCTTATTTTAGTCACACCAATCAATGATTTTCCGATTTTGTTAGCTCTAGGCATTTTTAGTCTGTGAAATAAATCTACACTGTCAAAGGGAATTTTAAGTGGTGATGCACTATTCTGTTGTGAAGAGATGCTCTAATGAGGAAAATAAAGAGAAATGATTTTATCACATATTAGACACAGTTTCTTAATTTCAAACTACAAAAAAATTCCAAGGGCTGAAAGAAATGGCTTGGACCTTTTGTAAGTTCTACAGTACAGTATGTCACCTGGAACACTCATTTAGGCAAAATTCTATTAAAAATTTGTGATGCCAAGGCAAACAAATATGTCTGGAGGTAGAAACTAATTAAAGGAACGACTCACGATATAGCCAACTTGAAAGGCATTCAATATTTCAGAATGATGCAAACATGTATTGGTTTAACCATTTTATATATTGGATGATTATTGTCTGACATGTTTGCTGACAGCTTCTGTATCAAAGTAATAAGGCTTATTACACAACAGAGATGTAAAATTTGTAGTCATTATTACTAATGCTGAAATATATTAGGGTGGGCTTATTAACAGGCATGGATTTTATGTAAGATAAACACTGTATTTTTCATACTAGAGTTGCTCTTAACATTCCAGCTGTCAAAATCTAATGATTTACTGGGTAAAAGTTATAATAATTTTACTTTGACAGTGAAAGTTTTGTTCATATTAATTAGTGCAAATTACAGTTCTAAAAGTTATTTTTTGTGAAAGTAAATAAAAAATGAAATGACAATCATAGTGATAAATATTTGTAGACATTTTTCCATTATACTGATGTAATGTCATTATAAGTTTTTGCCAAAAATGTTCTCAGAACATTAAGAGTAGTCTATATTGAAATCATATTGCAATCTGGTAATTGAATATACATATTTAGTGTAGTTTCTCATAGCTGCTAGAATTACAGAGTATGTCAAGAAATTCAAAAGTATATTGTAAAACAATCAAAAACTATATTAAGGTATGTTTTATTAAATTATGAGAGACAATTGGCATGAAAATTAACATTTCGTTATTCACCAATAGCTGGTTAACAACGTATTTGAGATGTTGAAATAAAAGACAACACACAGTGAACGTTGAACTGTCCACAGATTCTGATTACTCATGAACTATTAACTACATATATCTTTCTGCTTGCTGTGATAATAAACTTTAGTGCCTAAAAATGAACGATTCTGTTTTTTTTTTAATTACGCACATGCTATCAGTAACCAACGATATCTTTTAAAACATGTACTACGTCTCAATGTCTTCTTCTGGGATTCCGACCACAGAATTTTAACAATATCTTGCATAAAATGATAGATCGGGAACAATCATGGATAAAACATATATTTGTAGTAGGAAGGAGTAATGGAAAATCTCCTGCTCCGCCTAGGTTTCAACAATAGACTCTTCAGCCTCCATCTGGACACTATAGGAAATTGGGACCCGTGCCATCAACTTATCCATGTGAATTTCTCACATACTTCACAGGGTGATCCTATGGTTCATAGGAAAGGGAAAGACTGGTGGCACACACCATGACGCTATTTGCAGCCATGTCACAAATTGATAACACCATTAATTTTCAGTGCTTATTTCATGAGACATTGATGATGGCGCAAGAAATAGGATTCACGACAACTTACAATTTCTTGCTGTATGGTGTTTGATAATCTGTGAGAAACATGAATCCTGTAGACAGGGATAACTCGGCTAAAGAGTTTGGCTGGTCGACAACAGCCGACCCAAATTACTTTTAAAAGCATAGCAAAAGATACAAAACACCAATCACAATTAGAGGGTAGGACTGAGTTCTCACAGAAAAAACTCTGGCTCTAGCGGTATATGGAAGACATTTCAAAACAGGATATCTGATATCAAGATGGTTTTATTGTTGCAAAATGACACAATTTTACACTGTAAGAATTTACAGACATTCATGAATGGCTGTATTAAAAAGATACTAATTGATTTTGGCACAGTACCATTATCGTTTGAACACAGAAAATGTATGAAATTTTGACTGGCAATCATTTAATTAATTTTATCAAGTAAATCCAAATTTCTGATGGTCACATATCAGGTATATGCAACGTCTATGGCTATATTTGGGTCCTGGATCAGCTGACCACTGACCAATGAAGTAACCACTTTCACCATGTGCAGTTGCTGATCAGTGTCTCATAATATGACCACTTTACCACTCTTTCTGTTTAATGACCACAAGTCAGAGCAGATGCCATTAACGATCCTGTCTTTCGCTGCTGACCGTTCAAGGTCTGAAGATGAATGTTGACTATTTACTTGTTCATCAGCTGACAAGTGACACCAGATAGAGGAAATCTGACCACCATTGTTTATTTAATACAGATGGGAACTTGGTCTGAAAAATAAAAAAAATTTAATATCATTTACATTTCATAAACTCATGCAGTTAGTGCTTTATAATTCCTTGTTATCATAGAAAATACCCCACAAGACTTTTCCCCAGTCAAATACTAGCCAGGAAGATAAGCACCAGTTGTAAGGACAAAATATAAACTAGCAAATAAGAGAAGGGGCATAAATCCAGAAAAATTTACGGTACACTTTAATTACCGGTGGTGGTGTTGGATACAATGATTAAACTATTACAGCAATTCTTATATTACCTTTAGTCATAAAGTTAACAGAAATAAAAACAAGGTTTACTTCAGTTTTCCAATATTTCCAAGAAATTTCAGCTAAATGACACCATGGGAACTGGAGCACAAACTTAGAATATGTTTTTCAAGATAACAGCCATATCCAATTATGGATAGGCCCTGAAAAATATCAACACTTGGTCAAGACCATATCAGGATCATCTATTACAAGTTGTGCTGAATCCCAGGGCAAAACAGTCAATGAGAATATTAAATAGGTGATGTTCAGGAAAACCGTGACTGTGCAATCATACTATAAAATTGTTACTGCGGCTGACATGCCAAAGTTTTGAGGAGCCTGAATGACAACAATACTTTGCCCGCTTTCTTTCCTAAACCTTACCACCAACTTTCAACTCAATGGGACTTGTCAAACTTGGGAAGTTTCAAGATGGTGGTCAGGTTGGCCATATTGGATTTCTGACTGACCCAAAAAATAACAGCACCTGGTCAAGACCATCTCAGTATGAGCTGAATTCCACTGTTGAAACTTGAGAAGAAGTTTGTAATAGTATCAGTCACGAAACCCTTGATTGCGTATGTAGCCACTGTGACTACCAGGTCCAAGTTTTGACAAGGCCAAGAACCAACAACTGTCGCCTTCCTTCCCTCAATATTCCAATCAAATTTCAGTTCAATAGCACCAGTGGAACTGGAGAACATATCTTAAAGGGATTTTTCAAGATGTAGCTATTGATTTTGAAAGGACCCAAAATATTACAACAGTTGGTCAGGACATCTCAGGATCATTGATGGCAAGTTAGAGCTGATGACTAAAGGTCATGTTAGCCCTTCGGGTCAGATGATACATAAGACAACAAAAATGTTGTAAGCCTGCTTACCTGGACAGAGGTTAGAATGGTGTTGATAGAGTCAGCATGTTGGTGTAATGTGGATAGACTTCCTTTGTATCTCAGTAAGATAGAGGCTACCCCACATACTCTCTGGACGTCTCCCTCATCACAAGCACCTGTGTACACAACAACAAAAGTTAACACATATTTATATAACTCCAAGTTCTGTTTATGTAAATTTGAAAATACCAGAAATAACAACAGTTCAATGAATCACATTTTTAATATTTTATTTTAAAATACATGAGAAATCGTATCTCTTAGCAAATACTAATACTCTTATACATGTAACTAAAGCAAAGCAGGATCTTAATTTCAAGAGTTGAAAAACCTAGTGCTTTGTATGGTCTCTAAAAAGAGAAAGAAGAAAGTTAAAGATACAAAAAGATGGAGGAAATGACAGAGAAAGAAGGAATAATAAAGATTCCTTTTTCAGAATAATTATGTTATTATAAACATCTTTCATACATACATTAAATAGAGAATTTTTTGAAAGTTTAGAGCATCTGGTCAAAAAGAAAAAAAAAACATCCAGGACTAGGCAAGGCTAGCACAGGTAGCTTTTATTTTTGAATTATGTGGTATGTTAGAGAAATGGAATAAACTTCTAAATGTTTGAAAATATTTCACATCTACATCACATACTGAAGTGATGGTGTGCTTAATTGTTTATTACATGCATTTTTTACCTACAAATAAAATGACATCAATTATGTCATCATAAAGACAGACATAATCGTACATACAGTCTTTGAATAGCCAACATATTATACCATAACCTGAAGACAAACCATACAAATTAACATGTTCTCACAACAGCATAGCATGTTTCTCACTGCAATAATTCTAAAATACAAACAATCTTTAAAAAACATTATTCAGATTTATCAACTGAAAACGTAAAAGATGGATTCCAATTTTTCCCATACAAAGGGATATGACATGTAGGGGATAAAATCTCAATTTGGTCAGTTAGGATAAATCAAGAACAAATCAAAAGATCACACAAATCAACAGCCAGGGTCGTTTACAGGTAAGATCTCTTTGAAGAAGCTGGTGGTTCCCTCACTGAACAACATACAGGAGGCCATTCACATGTCATCCAAAACAATATGGGGTGGTCGGGTGGCGCAGTGGTAACGTACTCGCCTTTCACCTGGCTAACCGGGGTTCAATTCCCGGAACGGATGTGAAAAGGTAAGGGGTCACCTCCGACCACGTGGGTTTTCCCCGGATACTCCGGTTTCCTCCCACAATAAGACCCCTCACGCGCTTACATCCGGGCCAACAAGAGTGATCAGTATAAGTTGGCATAACTTGTTTCGCAATTGTTGTAAAATAAATAAAGTTTATATTTAATATGGGTAAAATGTCTTTCCCAAGGACAAAATCATAACAACACATGATGGGTATGTTTCCTTGTGAGAAACTAAAACCATCCAAAATTGAACAAAGAAGCCAAAACATAAATCAAAACTTACTTCTGTAATCCTGGGACATGTTCTCCAGAAAATCTTTAACTCCAGACTCAGCTGAGATCACAAACTCAGCACATTCTGTTTTAAGTTCTTGAATAAAATCTGATATTTGCTCTCCATTAGCAACTAGTATATTGAACAAGCACCAAATGTAACCACACACAAGCTCTGTAAGCTTCCTTCCGATTGGACATTTCCAACAGTTCATGTGACTGGCTAGCATAACAATGGCCATCAGGTTTTGACTTGACAAATTGCTCTTTTCACTTTGGAATTGGATCTGGAATACACCAAGGAAAAACAATCATATTAGGAATATTACTACTATTGTCCCCAACGAACATAATACCTTACAACAAACAAAACTAAAATTCCATTATAATACACGTTTTCTTCTTTACTGCCACACAACTTACTTAGGTTTGACTGTTATAAAATCCATATTAAACAAATCTTTGATGTTATGTAATAATCTATATGTACATTAATCTATGACTTTTTGTTGGGAGAAGATTTTATATACACTTGTAATTATGTTCCGGTCAATCATTTTGTGTGACCTATGACCTATGACCTATACTGACCAGATAAGACTGTAGAAATGACTCTAAAATTTCAGCCACCTGTGATGTATTCTCAACCTGCTGATAAGTGGAACACACTGCCTACAACAGAAAATCAATATTTAAATTTCACAATAAAAATTGACATTTGCATATGAAAGACGTGATACAGAGATGCCAGTCTTTTTATTTATGCAGGGTGTTTTTCTTATAAAAGACATTGTTAAAGAGGTAGTCACCATGGAAATCCCGCCTCAAAACGATCCTTGTTGTTCACGGGGCAATTAACCCACAATTGTTCATCTCAAGCTAGGTCATTCAGTACCTTCATTAGAGATTTTCAACTTATAGCAATACTCCATAGACAAAATTATAGACATTTGGAACAAAATAACTTCTATTTCCCATACACAATGTGTTGCTCACCTTTATCAAAATCAAACTTCTATTCCAAATCTCCGGGTTAAAATGACAGTGAAGATGATGGTTGCCATGACGATGAATAAATGTAGTTTCAGTTTCCTGGTCTTTCACTACTTTTTCATTACCATCATCTGTTGCACAATTCAAAGTTGATTATTGAAATATTCTAATTATCTATATCAAGAACAGACCTGATGCCCCAAACATATAGAAAATACATGGTCAGTGTCTTAACATATAAGCTGTATTTGAGTGAGGGTGAAAAAAGGGGGATGGGAGTGTTCATTGACATATTCCCTCTGGCTCAATATGTGATGTAGGATGTTGATTAATTGGCTTATTATAGGACAATGGAATATCATTGGTCAGCAGATCTGCTGAACAACAATGTATATGGTTAGGCTTTTTACCAGGCATGGGCTTATTTCTGAATAAATGCTGTATCACTGTAGGATGGGAAGGAAGTTTCAGATAATTTGTTTAATCCTAGCAGAGTCTGTCAAGTTAAAAGAGGTAACCATATTTTGACATTTATCTTAACAAAAGCATCATGCAATAACTCTTAATTTGAAGAATTCATTTCTCCTGCCCACCTCTCTTCCACCCCCTACCCCCTAATGCTTCACCCTCTCAATTTTATATTAGAAAAGATCATCCAGGCTAAAGAAAAAAAGAAAGAATCAATATTCAAATTAATACTCTGTTACAGTATTAAGACAAATCCATCATTAATTTACTGTGTATATCAATAACTGTACTTCAGTGTTACATTAGAAGTTATGATGACTTTGACCTACCATGTGTGATGAGGATGCTGAGTAGTGTACTGATGTAGTGGGTACCTCCTTCAACTGTCTGCTTCTCCTTCATGTACCTGTGATGATAGCAGATTACAGTACATTAATGATATGTCTATCTCATGGGACTTTGCCAAAATGAATCAAAGAACTAGAAGTCAGGAACGGGGCCTGGTTGTTTTTGAAACCAAACAGACTTTAAAGGATACATTTTTTGGGGGGACAACATCTTGAACTATTTTTCCTATTCTTTTATCAAGCAGACAATTTCTTTTTTACTCTTTATGAAAATAAAGTTTTTATATTGCTTCATTTTGTTTTCTTTTTTTAAAAAAAATCTATTCATACATACCTGTGATGTAGTATCTGTAGAATATACAAACAAATATCCACTGACACTTGAGGGCGCCGGAACAGCCTCACTATGGAGGACAGTGAACTCCCCTGGAGTGGAGGTATGTAATATAACAGCTCTGCAAACCTTTTCTGTGTGCTACTTTCAAGTTTGTCAAATACTGCTGGAGACTGATCTAGAAAGTAAAATGAAACTAAATTTACTTATTAAATCATCATTCATTGAAAAATTACCTCCACAAAGTAAAAAATCTATGTTTCTTGCAAAATAATTCAATTCACATTTCAGACCTTGATTTAAAAGGAAGTTTTTAGAAGCCTAAATACATATTTCAATGAAAGTTGAAAATCATTCTTGGTCTTGATCATCTGTATTATAGTCTCCACATTATCAAAAAGATCAAATGATGAATGGTTTGAAAGTAGCAATGATCCATCATGTAATGTTTTACAGTGAAAGTACCTAAAACTTGATCCACAAAATGCTGGACGATTTCCATAACAGATGTTGTCAATTTGGATTGGCTGACAGCTTTTTTCATCACCATTAATACTTGTGTTAAAATCTGTCGATTTGATATAGCCTGGAAAAACACCTCTGGTAATGTTTTCAGGAACGTGATAGCCATATTGGAGTTGATGAGGTCCTCATAACGATAATCCAAGAAGATGTCAGAAAAAAACGTTAGTAATTCCTTCCGTTGGCTGGAAAGTAGGTGACAACCTGTGTACCTATTCAGCATCTGCTGTAGCAAACTGTCATGGATGCCTGAGGAAACAAACATTTTAGTGATGAAATCTCCACACTGATCAAATGTGTATACAATGAATGTGTACCACATTATGTAAAACGCTAAATTTGACCTTGTGTTTTGCCCTCATACATGTTTATGAAATCATGGCAGCAATTTGAACAAACTAACTAGGCTTTCCTATAGACATATCTACTGTCTATCCCATGCATTTTCAGAAAATGTGTTTACTAACATTTATAACCTTTTCAATTTGCTAAAGACCTCAAGACATGGTTCAAATTATGAAACCCATGCATCATTTTGATTTAAACAAAACTTCCTCTCCAACCCAATGGTATCACAACAAAAGAATAATGAAAGTAACATTATGATTCTCATCAACTTTAAGAACATGATTCAATGAGTTACTAGTGACAGAACTTAGATTTGAATAGTGTGGGAACACACAAGACATGTCAAACTTCAAAAAAACAATTTTCAGTATTGTTCCTCAGTTTTAATGCTTTTAAAAGTTCTAAGAGAATGCCTCTGCTTACAATTTGTCCTAGCTCATACAGTGATAACCTATTGTTGGGACTGATGTAGGTTAGGTTGATCCAAAGACAAAGATCATGGTGATACAAAATGCTTAGTATCTATAAATATGAAATTGGTGTAATAACACTGCCCAGCTATCAAATGATACCACATTCATTCTGCAGTATACCCAGAAGGCTTATAACATATTACCTGTGACCTAGGATATGGGGGTCAATACAGGAGGAAAAGTCAAGGGGCAAACACATTACCTTATACTCAGGAGATGGGGGTCAAAACAGGACAATAAGTATTGAGGGCTAACACTTTACCTCTGGTTCAGGAATTAGGAGTCATTACAGGACAATAAGTCAAGGGGGCCAACACATTACCTCTGGCTCAGGAGATGAGAGTCATTACAGGACAATAAGTATTGGGGGCCAACACATTACCTAATACTCAGGAGATGAGGGTAATTACAGGACAAGAAGTCCTGGGGGCCAACACATTACCTCTGCTTCAGGAGATGGGGGTAATTACAGGACAATAAGTCCTGGGTGCCAACACATTACCTCTGGTTCAGGAGATGGGGGTAATTACAGGACAAGAAGTCCTGGGGGCCAACACATTACCTCTGGTTCAGGAGATGGGGGTAATTACAGGACAAGAAGTCCTGGGGGCCAACACATTACCTCTGGTTCAGGAGATGGGGGTAATTACAGGACAATAAGTCCTGGGGGCCAACACATTACCTCTGGTTCAGGAGATGGGGGTAATTACAGGACAATAAGTCCTGGGGGCCAACACATAACCTCTGGTTCAGGATATGGGGGTAATTACAGGACAATAAGTCCTGGGGGCCAACACATTACCTCTGACTCAGGAGATGGGTGTCAATACAGGACAAGAAGTCATGGTGTCCAACACATTACCTCTGACTCAGGAGATGGGTGTCAATACAGGACAATAAGTCCAGGGACCAACACATATAGGTACTCCTTACTGAACGTAAGGGGTTGGGCTTATTGCAGAACAATAAAATTACATTCATTTATAATTCTACTGAATAGAATTAATGTTTGCTGAGCTTCGAATAAATTTGGGGCAATGAAATCAATAAATGATCAGTTGAAATACCAAGAATTGATATAAGAATGACCTACTTTGGTCTTTGTATTGAGACATAAGGCGATTAATGACGCTCATCACAATGTGCTGGTCCTGTAGACTGAGCTCCTCCTCTTGAATGACATCGTCTAGGTAACTGATGATGTCAGACTCCCAGGATGCCACACTGCTGTCTTGTAACTGGCTAGATGATTGTGACATGAAGTGGGCCATTATATCACAAACTGCTAAATTTAGACTTGTTGCTGATGGCTGTAACAATCAAAATTTAATAAAACATGGTTCACAATAAACAGTAAATGGTTTTTTTTAATGGTTCATTGTTTTTTTTATTGATATACATTCAAACCAAACGGGATTCATTTTGTTCAGATATCATGAAACAGATCATGTTTTCTCCATCTTTCAAACTATCTCATCTTTTTGACATTTTATTTCCACAAAAATAAGCCAGAATAAGAGAAGTTCTGGAAAATAACAATCTCAATGTACAGTACAAGTTGACTTTTTTCAACAGTCATTAATTTAATTTTTGTTCTTGCATCATTAAATAAATAACTACACATAGCTTGTTCCAACAGTAGAAGCCTGGTAAACTTGTGTCAAGTTTTATCAATACAGGACATAAAGATAGCATTGAAATACATGTATAACTATAAATTACTGATGATCAGAAGACATGGTCCCCTTTACCTGTACTTCTGTGCTTTGTTTCTTTACTTTCTCTGCCCTTTCTGCTGGTAGATGAACAGCATAAGGAAAATTCTGCAGGAACTGACTCTTGAAATCTGCCAAGTATTTCTTCTGCATTGTTGCCATCTACAGACAAAATGAGTAAAGCAGAATGTTTTATTGAAATAATGATGAAAACTTCCATTCCTAAATGCTCTTGGAAAATGGCCACCACAATATGATAACACAAGGTGTAAAATTACACTGTAGCTGTTTTAATACTATTATAGATATGAAGGAAATTTGTGGAGAGGTTCTGAAAATATTTTTATTGATTCTGAATCCGACACGACAGGACAGAATGCGACAGACAGACATGGTTAACATTGTACAGTTATTCCCCAAATCACCCCATAAAATAGTAAGGACATAAAAACATATTTTGAAAAAAATTCTCAGTCGGTATCTGTATTTCATGCACTGTTTGAGCTGCATTATTTAGCAATAGCACAACTAATTCTTTACATTTTGAAAGAAACCAGTTTTCCATATCATGCATTATGGTTTGGAAAATCACACAGATCAGAACTCACCAAGGCAGGGTTGTTTATATCTACACATCGCCATAGTAACTGTATCACTTGTAAAACACTTCCCCTGATACCCAGGGATTCTTGGGAAATTAATTTACTGTGACCTAAAACAGAATGAAAACTCTTGAAGGCATTACTTTAATTCAATCAATTTTGGGATGTTAATATTTTATTGAATGTCTTTAATGAAGATGTATACCCTTAAACGAGTCACCTTATGTACCGATATGAAGACACTGATATCTGAAAAAAAAAATATTTAGAAGAAACTTTTATAAATAGGCATTTTTACCAGTTATCTATACAAGCAGAAACTATAAAGAAAGCAACTTTAAATGAAAGAGTCAACATTTATATTCAGTGTTAACACAGCTCTCAATTGTCTAAGCATCATCTACAATTTGTATTCATGCCGTTCTATTTAAATATAACTCTACATCGTCTACATGCAGTTCTATTTAAATATAACTCTACATCGTCTACATGCAGTTCTATTTAAATATAACTCTACATCGTCTACATGCAGTTCTATTCAAATATAACTCTACATCGTCTACATGCAGTTCTATTTAAATATAACTCTACATCGTCTACATGCAGTTCTATTTAAATATAACCCTACATTGTCTACATGCAGTTCTATTTAAATATAACCCTACATTGTCTACATGCAGTTCTATTTAAATATAACCCTACATTGTCTACATGCAGTTCTATTTAAATATAACCCTACATTGTCTACATGCCGTTCTATTAAAATATAACTCTACATCGTCTACATGCCGTTCTATTAAAATATAACTCTACATCGTCTACATGCCGTTCTATTAAAATATAACTCTACATCGTCTACATGCAGTTCTATTTAAATATAACCCTACATCGTCTACATGCCGTTCTATTTAAATATAACCCTACATCGTCTACATGCAGTTCTATTTAAATATAACTCTACATCGTCTACATGCAGTTCTATTTAAATATAACCCTACATCGTCTACATGCAGTTCTATTTAAATATAACCCTACATTGTCTACGTGCAGTTCTATTTAAATATAACCCTACATTGTCTACATGCAGTTCTATTTAAATACAACTCTACATCGTCTACATGCCGTTCTATTTAAATATAACCCTACATCGTCTACATGCAGTTCTATTTAAATATAACCCTACATCGTCTACATGCAGTTCTATTTAAATATAACCCTACATTGTCTACATGCCGTTTTATTAAAATATAACTCTACATCGTCTAGGCATCATCTAAATAAACCTAATGAATCCTTCTATAGTTCAAGGTCATATTTATCTCTGACAATCAGTTGATATCAAAATAATCACAGGCATATCAATAGACAATATCAGATCTTTGTGTAAATATAAACAGGAACGTTAGGGAAATGTTTCCATAATTCCTGAAAACTGAGAACAATATCCTCACTCTTTTTATTAGACATGTGATGTGAACCCTCAGCTTCTATCCAGCATTCCAGCAGAAGAGGAACCAGCACCTGTACCAACTTCTCCATTCCTCCTTCCCCTGTCAGAGCGTATCCTTCTTCTGTTGATTTCTTGTTAGAAATCTGACCAGACCTATCAACATAACCAGGGAAATGATGTTTACTATTTTACTAGTGTGTACTGTATATCAATCTTCATTGAAATATTTTTTTATTCTTTACGTTGTGTATGCAATTATTCTATTTTTGGAAATGAACCAAATGAACAGTGATCTTTTGTTCAAAGTATAAGTTAATTTTATTATCATCTCAGGACACTGAGAGGATAAGAACAGGACAAATGTAATAGCAGGGTATGGTGAAAATTAAGTAACTTCTGTAAAATTTAGAGACCTGAAAATGTTAGTAGATTATACGCATAACAAAGTCAATAAGTGTACTGAAACTGTAAGTAATGTCCTACTTCACATAGTTATGTGTACTACCTATACACAAATCTGTCCAAAAAAGGGGAGTAACTCTACATGAATAATCTTAAAATTTGAAGTAACTGGTTAATAAATGTTTCTAAAATTAACTGTTTAGCATATTCTCATAGGAGCAATATCATATGAAACTATTCTTGGCCAACTAACTTGGCCAATTTTTTGCAAGCTTGCCAATTTTTTTAGTTATAGTGAAATGTTTGCAAACTAATTACACATATTACATGATCAACAATCATATCAAACAACATTGGATTATTCATAAACTACGTTATAGTCAGCAGAGTGTTAACAAGCATGTCAATGTTTTTGGTCACTGTGAAAGCGGTGAAAGAACAAGGAAAACACACATTCCTATAAAGTGCCCCGACCAGGAATCTAACCCGAGTCTCCAGCATGAAAATCAACCAGCTCTATCAAATGAGACACAGATGCATGCTCCATCAGCTGTGTGATAGAGGCCGTATTTAATACCATGTACAAGCCACATTGACCCCCTCCTTCTTTTTATATGTTTGAACATCAAAATTCACCATCAGTACCAGCTTTGGACTCCTACCTTATGTGCATGCCACTAGATTCAATCCTAGATAAAAATGTCTGAGGTATTGGTAAACGTCCAGAATTACTGTCCCTCTCCCACTTGACAGTTTTCCCACAAGACTTGGTTGTCAGGTTTCCTGGTTCATCAGATTCTTGGTTTTCCATTGTTTTACCAGTAAGTTGGTACTTTATAACAGCTGATAACAATTTGTGAAGTCTTTCCAGAACAGTGCTTCTCCATTTTTGTGATGTGGTTTTTCTGTTTGGATTCACATTTAGGGTCCTTTTTTTATCACCTGTGGTTTGTGAGGAAGAAATCTGTTCAATAAAATTAGCAAGTAGCTGATTAGAGCTCCCTATAACAAGCTGAGGGAAATTCTCAATAAAAAGATCAAGTATTCTGAGGGAGTCCGCCTGTATTTCATCATATATGTGTGACATCGAACAACACAAGTGAGCACTGATGATCGGGAAGAAGGACGAAATCTGACGCTGTGATATATGAGGTAAGATAGTTTTCAGAAGCTTGATGTCAGCTTGTCGTACTGCAGCATCTTTGTCAGAAAACATTGATGCAGCGCGTTCAAGAACCACTGCCAAGTGTGACCTTATAAGGTTAGGATAGGTCGTTAAGAGTTCACGCATTCCTGTCAGGGCGTCGTGTCGAACAGATATACTGTAGTGTTGACACTGGGTCAGGAGCTCCTACAATTGTAATCCAAACATCCATTAAATGCATAAATTAATTCAAATTATGATTACGTAACCATTACAATAAAAAAATTAATGTATCAATCTGATATGAAACACGCTGTGAAAGGAATTTTCCAAGAACTCAATTTTCATGTCTTTTTTTTTAATACTGTATCGTGTACACATGGAATAATACAAGGTAATAACTAATGCTTAAAATAAAACCCCACAAAAAATCATGATTTTACAGTAACAAAACCAGAAAATGATCTACCAACAATCCTAGTGGATATTTAACAAGTAACCGCAGTGTATTCCTGCCAACGTATTTGCTATATATTTATTGTTTTTTCACACTCTACAAAATGACAGTGAAAAAACCATTGAGCCCTACGCATACATAATATTTAGGTCCAAGGAGCACAGTGTTTTCTGTACTTTCAAGTTGAGAACTACACCACATTTGATACTTTGTGTGTACTTTAAAGTTCCTCTTACAAAAAACTCAGAAGACTGTGTAAAACATGAGTGACAGTAGAAGTAAGTAATCAGCATTAGTCTTTGTTAAAATAATAATACTTTACCTTGATGTTAAGATTTCGTTTTGTACTCGGCTGAGAATCATTGGACTTGAGATGTTGTATCACTTGTATAGATCTTGTCTGGAAACTGCCTGTAGTCACATTATCAGCTTTTTTCAGCTGCTTTCCAACCTTAAGTTTCACTTTCTGAAAATCCCTCTTCTTTTTCTTTGCTTTACCCATGGTCACTAGATGAATGTAAATTAAATGTATTGTACATTTTGTATTTATCAATTCTAATATAATAATAGATTTAATCAAATTCAATAAATTCCAAATTCAATCTACAATAAAATATTACTGTTCTTGCTACTTGTGACTGATTATTTTAATATACAATATACAAAGTGTATGTACATGCCACAATCAACTACACTTTTACATGTAAAATTAATGCAATATCCAATTTTGGACTGGATTCCCACATTGATAAATCAATCAGATTCCGCAATTTGTAATAATTTTATCTAGTGTAAAAAGGAGATGAAATATTGGGAGGCCTCGTAAAACAATAAATTTTTTGTCCTAGCATAAAGTTGTTTTACTTCCTTGTCTGTTGTTTGACGGGGAGTATTTTTCTCTTGCAGGGTTAATCAAGTTTTTGGTTTGAGTATAGATACTTTTCATTAGACATCAGTTATTCCTTGTGGAAAGGCAGTACAGGAAGGGTGTCTTTTCTCATTCCCTAAAAGTTTTGTTGAACACCACCAAAGGAGGGACATAAGTAGTTTGTGTTTTTCCCATCTATCCACTCTGATTGTAAGCTAGTGGGAAAGGGAAACTGTTATATTTGTGGTTATGAGTACTCTTTGCCTTATTTTCTGCAGGAACATAGTCTACGATATATATCAAAGGTAGAAGCGCAATATATGTACAATGTATTTCAATACATGTACAATGTACATTACAAATTACTCTGGTGTTCTTTTGACCTTATTGTGATCTGGCATCAATGGACCAACACGAAAAACTAATACATGTATATTCTACTTATAAAATTACAAGTGTTGTTATTAAGCTTTAGGATGATTACATGTTGTCACAAATTATTTACATATACAGAAGTATGTGCTAACTGACAGGTATAATATATACAAGTTTGATTTGGTTTGTGAGTTTATGCTTTATTGATAATTGGATAGGAAACTTTCATGATTGTTTACTATTTCTTGCACAGTATTGTCAGTAGGAGCTCATATTTGTATGGGTTTTTTCCAGCAGTAGCTAGGCCTCATGTTCAAGGCTGGTACATGTACATTGTATCGTCCTGACATTGGTTCCAATCCGCTATATATTTCAGTGCTGCCATTTTGTTTAACTGTATTATGTGAGCTATTGACTTACACCAGTGATTTTTGTTACTCTAACATGTGATTAAATCCATTCATCATAAAATATTATGAGTATTTGTTCCATTGGCCAATTTGGATACTTTTTTCTTACAGGGCTCTTGATTTGCTTAATTTGGTGCCAATAATATTCGGCCCCATTCCCAATGAAAAATAGTATCTTTTTTTCCCAATTTAGACCCCAAGTTCTCCCAATTGTAAGGAAAACACCATTATTTTTCCCAGTTCTAAGGGCCCTGGGCCCCAGTCCCAAAATGGGGTGTGAGGGCCCTGTCTTAATACCCATTTTGACATGTCAAATATCCTCCCAGATATCATGAAATGGCCCATTAATCCATTTCCAATCTGAATAATTTTTATTTTTTTTTTTTTCATTTCTGGGCCACTGTGAGGCTCGATCAAGCACCTCTGTGATCCAGTGATGTCACCAAAAACATAAGTGTAAACATGTAGTGGAGTGTCCAGCTAGAGACCAAAAGGTGGCTAGTTAGAATCCCTCTAGGGGCATGTTTTTCATTACTCCTTCCTATTACAGATTTGGTGTTGTTGATTACTAAAAGGATAGAAGCTAAATGAGACTAAGATGCTTCCTTGGAGGTATGGAACCTGGGTTGTTGCAGTCTTCTGGATCGGAGACATCATGAAAGAGGAAGTAGTGTAGAAGTTGAGAGTACAGGCCACCTAACCAGCAATGGCTTGTGGGAATTTCCCTTAGTCAAGCAGTAGTGTCCGACTAGAAACAAAAAGGTCACCAAATCGAACCAGGTATTTTTCATTTCTCCTTCCTATTACAGAGGTAAGGCTCACTTGTTTACATTTGCCCTATACACGTAAAGCAAGATTTACTGGTGCTCCAGTGCCTGTATGTTCTGTACTTATGACCAAAGACGTATATGACACCTCCTTGGGACTCGTTTATGTATGATGTTTGACAAGATCCCTAATCCGGCGAGCGATGTTGTCAAACGTCCGATATAAAGGAGTTCCAATTAAGGCGAAATCACAGAAGGGATAATATACGTCTCTGCTATGGCCAGTGCTGTGAGTGATTGTTTCGGGACAGACAATTTCCGTGTCAATTAGACTGCGCCATAACATGTTGTTTTCATCTTTTTGTCGGAATTGTGTATGTAGCAATGTTCGCCTTCAAAATTATCGACAAAACTTACCTCACAAAACACTCCCTAGAGTTGTTATGTTTATAAAGTTGACATCCACGTGGTTTAGCCGGAACCTTGCTAGTCCTCTCTATAAAGTTAATAAAGTCTGAGAGCAATCGAAAAGAAAATTATTTTACAAAATTGTATTTGGAAAGCAATTTTATTCAAAATGTTGACGTTTGATCAGTAATAAAAAACTAAACAAAACAATTAATATTTTACTTATAGGTTACTATTTATAACTTATTATCAATTACTTCTCAGCTCTTGACTGTAAAATAATGATTCGTTTACATGTAAATAAGTCTTTCGGATTCGTAAAATATATAAATCAATAGTATGGAGGCTGTCGACGCGGCAGATTAGTTTCTGTTTGTCGTTCTTAACTTATTCTGGCCGATTAGCACTGAAATTATGTAAGTATTTCGTGTGATACTGTGGGTATTTAATTACTAAACATGCGTGATGTCAATCCTGAATTCCTTATATCTTATTTCGTGTGAATTATTGATTGAACATCTGAAACAATTTGACAGGTGTGTTTCCTTGCTCTGTTGCACTCATGCCATGGCCAGTCACCATTTACAGATTAAAACTTACAATTAGCAACATTCATTTATATAACATCTTCAAACAAAAGTTTGTACATTCTGACAGAGTGAGTAGTGTATTCCTTCACTTCACAGCTGGATACTCAACGGTATGCAGGTTGATTGAGCAATAACAACCAGAGTTTGACCTGAGGCTGAAGAAGACCGGGAGGGCAAAACCGGTCGACAATACCGAATTAAATACATCAACTCTTGTTGTGATTGATATACATATCATGTAAATGTGTTATGTGTTTGGAAAATAACTGAGATATAAATATATACGCCTACAAAGAAAAAGGTACCACTGGGGTGTTATCTCTTCCCCCCAACCCCCCCCCCCCCCCCCCCCCCCCCCCCCCCCCAAAAAAAAAAAAAAAAAAAATTAAAACCAAACAAACACACAAAAACAAAACAAACACAACAAAAACAAAAAGAAGTAAATGAAAACCTCATATGGCTTATAAATTTAGCATACGAATAGCCTACATATGTATGCTTAAACAGAATAAATTCTTGAAGTAACACAATAATGTACATTATATGAAAGTTTTCTTTTTTTTCAGTGAACTGATGTTCAATGGAGTTCACAGAAGTGGTTGGCTGGATGGCCTTCACCACCTCTGTAATTGTCCAGCTAGTTGGAATGTAAGTATAAGTCAATGTTAGAATTGATACAAAAACAATATACCTGTGTAAATAGATAGGATGTCAAATATTGAAATTTGAAGATCTTACTATTTTAGATACCTACTGTTTATGATTTATTTTTCATATTTCAAGTAGACAATTAATTTAACCAAAAAAATAATATATAGACAATACTTGCAAATGGAGAAATTGAATACTGAATTTAGGTAGAGTAAAATCAAAATAATGCAAGTTATCAGTTATAGTTTTGTATTCATTCCAGTGAGGTGTGTATGAGAATTATAAAGAAGGGATCAACAGGAGATATATCACCTATCCCATTCCTTACCTACTTCATAGTGTAAGTAGATGTCACTGTTTCTCATTTACTTTCTTGTGTGATTATCATTCACCTGTACCATTTTTGAATTTATTATCAGAAATACAATTTAAGCATTTTCAATTGAACAACTAACTCACAGATAACTTTCTCTTTCATTAAGTATCCCAAATAGAAGAATCGGCCATTTGCTGTGAGCTAGTATTATATAGATCTAGCCTTAGTGGTTGGTTTAACAATTCTTGAACATGCACCAGTGCTGTTTTTGTTTGGTGAAAACTTCAGTCATATTTGTGTACCCTGAGCTACCAAGGTGCATAATAGGAATTTGTTTTCTTGTATTTTCTTTATACATCAGTATGTTATAAACCATCGATTTACTTAAATATATTTTTTAATTTGATTTCATTAAAATAGAAATTTTATACTTTAGTACAATGTATTGAGAAATTGGAAGAATTGGTATTTAAAATATTGCATCATAATGTGGTCTAAAATTAAAGCTTTTTGGATATTTTATATGTCCTTTAATAAATACATGTATTGTATATAATGATATAATAGAACTATTTTCAATAGACCGTATTGATCTGATAGACACCTGTGGCAGAGTATTTCTGTTGCACAATGTAATGGCCCATGTAACAGCTGTTACATATGGTATGTTCGACATGTGGTGTTCTGCTGGTGACACCTCTGTAAAAGGATAGTTTACAAGTCTCTATAGATGAAATGGAAAAGATAGAAAATTATTAAAATCATATATACTGTACTTATCTGTCACAATGGCTAATCTCCATGGAAATCCATTCTTTAATTTCCTCAAGTTCAATTATGTTGCTTAGCAGTAGATTTTTTCATCATTTCAAATAACAACTTTCTTTTCATGTATATGTATGTGACATTTCTGGTTTTAGACATGTTTTCTGTAAGTATACATTATTTTGTGTGATCTTGTCATTGTAGTTTTATCTTCACAGTATAACTGTAGTAATTTAACCCACTTAATATTCCTTATGGAAATATTTGGTAACTGATTTTTTTCCTTTACATTTATATGATTTCTCTAACTGGTTTGATTGTGATTTGATCATTTTCACAGATTATGAGGGCCTTCATACTTGTACTTGCTCCTTGACATAATGTGGCCATTGTATCATCTATCATGAAATTTTTGTTAAATCAACTTCTAAGTTATTAGAAGGCCTAGGTTCATGACATTTTTTGCTGGTGTAGTATGCTGGTACATAAGGATATCTAGTCTCACAAAAATATATAATATATGTTGTCCCCAAAAAATTACTTACAAATTTTCCAAAAGGTTCTGATATACAAAATTCTTTTCACATATATTCTTACTGACTTGAAGACAATTTACCTATAAATTAAATATTAATACATTTGGAATTTACATGTTCCCAGTAGTGTCAATGATTATGATTCTAGCTTGACAGGAACATGAGACCTCTTGTTTGCAACCAGATGAAACATTTCTATAGAAAATATTTTTATAGCACACTAACCAGAAGCTTAAGCTTCTCCATATTGACTTGTTTTAGTCAAACCTGTAAACAAAAATTTCATCCATGAACTGATAACTTATTACAAAAGCACTGTTTAAATAGGCTTTGCAAACACTAAAATTGCAATAGATGTTTTTAAACACATTTTCATACAGATTTCAGATTTTATTAATTTTTAGCACTTGCGACTATACTTTTGTTTTTGCCAAAGGTGTGCGCAAAATGCTTATTGATTCTTTTAATTGTGAGCTTATTACTGACACACATATTTGAAAAGCAGACAAAATGTTAGATCGTTAGTAGAAAAAATTCAAATTTTGACCAATTGATTTTTCTTTGATTATTTATAATTATATCCACAAATAAACTGACAGCTATGTAATCATAGCTGGTAAAAAAATGTGTTGTTTTCATAGACAATATAAATGCCAACTCTAGTAAAAGAAATTGAAAGTTTGAAACTGAGTATGAGGTTGGGATTTGTGGATTCTTTACAATAGTTTTCTTTACACTTATTATTAAGATATGGTCTTTTTTCAGATGGATGCACAAACAATATTTTCAATGTTAAAACAATATCAGTTTTTGAATGTTATGAATTTAATCTTTGTAATAATGTAAAGTGAGATAATGAGATATTTTTCAATATACCTATGTTTTTTGTGTTACAGAGCATGCCTGTGGGCCAAGTATGGCATCATACAAAACATCACACAAGTCCTTGTCGTTAACTCATTCGCCTCGCTCCTCCAGTTCTTCTATCTTGTCATTTACTATATATTTACTGTTAGAAAGGTAAGATGGTGGTAGCAGCCTAACGAACAAATAAAAAAACTTTATCTTATTTCTCCGTTAATATCAGAGATTTTTGTGACCTTTTTATCTCATTTTTGGTGGAAAATTGTTCAATATGAAAGGAAATTTCAGAGAATAAACTATTTATCTTTAAATACAGCTATAAAGATAAAATCTAGTTGGGGAGTGGAGCCCATTTTCAGCCCCAGAAAAGTCCATGACTTTATATGTGACCAGTTTCTGGAAAATATTAAGAATGTGTTATTAGTTTTGTTTATTTCAATGTCCTGTAGACCACCCCTGACTTTCATTTAAAGGTCATGTGTACATATTTCCTCCCCTGGACTTTTTCAGAAAAAAAAACCATTATAATTATATTTTACATCGCTACATTAGGATTCAAACCAGCTTCCTCCTTCAAGTCGTTTGCCAAACTTCATATTTGTTCACCAAATTATAAATTCAGGAGTCAGATATAACGGAGTTAAAAAGTATCATGTTTAGACATACAGAATAAAGACTAATTTTTTCTAGTTAATTTAATATTTTAATTGTTTAATAGACATTACCGATACTTTTGGTACTCATTTCAAAATAGTGTTTATTGATACAGGGTCTATGTGATTAAGGAAAAAAATTATCTGACGGTCAGCAGTAAGGAAAAGAATGGTGTTATCATTTTTATAAAGTTCATATTTTACAAACAGATCCAACGGTCAGTGGTAAGGGGTCATATTCAGATAATCACAATGCTTTCAATACAACAGAAGTTTTTCATCCCATCAAAACTCGTCTCTCATATACCTGTTTAGCAGCATGTGTAAATTTGAGTAAAAAGATGAATAAATGGAACAGTCAAAAGAAGCAGAGTTGAAAATTAAGGTTGTTATGATAATGGAAAATGAGAATCCACATTTAACACATACATTTTCCAATCCAACATTTTTAGTTAAGGTGTCTGGCAAAGGGTGTAGCCATTTTGGTATGGTTGAGATTTGGGACACTGGGTCATTATCTGTTTAATAATGATCAATCGTAATGTGTACCAAAGAGAAACGGGCCCCGGCAACATTTTTGCAGTCACAATTTTGATTGGTTAGTTGCATTGGAATGCTATCTGAATGAGACCTCTAAACGACCAATGTCTAATTCTGATAACATAGAGTATGATGATCTATATCTTAACCACTTCGCTGTGAAAAAACATTAATGCAAATATGTAATAGATTATTATGTATCTGTTTTTTTACAGTCCCAGTTTGTGAAGTTATTTTTCGTGAGCAGTGTGATACTATTCCTGCCTTTAATCTATGTCAAGTATTACCAGAAGGATGAGGCGTTAGCTACAGCCCACTTTGGCTCATTCTGTGTCCTTATGTCTATTATAGCATACGGAGCTCCTCTTGCCTCTCTGGTAAGATTTTTATGATAAAGGACAGATGATATATTATAATCAAGTCACTTTAAGTAAAAGTTTCTCATATATTCCTTTAAAGGAAATGTAATAATAATCTAGATGTTATCTGCATTCAGTTTGGTGTTCTGGGTTTTTTTTTTTTTTTTGGGGGGGGGGGGGGGGGGTTCAATATACATGTATGTATTTTGTTTTTTAGGTATTTTCTTTCAAGAAGAACAAAATCATGAAAAAATCATTTTTGAAAGTAAAATTTCTTGAGAAATCTACAGTTTGCTTCACAATTACCATGAAAATTCAATCATTTTTGCATCAAAATTGTGGTAAAATTCTAAAATATGGAACCATTGAGGATATAGTAAACTTCAATGTAATATGGTATTTTTCATGTAATTTTGATGTGGTATACATGTGATGTTTCACTCATGGAAATTTTAAGATTTGATGGAAAATGAAAGACAACTAGAGAAAAGTCATTGGGCGTTGATTACTTCTTTACATAGTAGCATGATATATTTTACTTGTAATATACTTCTACAATGAAATTTCCTTGAAAATAAAATACAAGTAGAATTTGTATTTACTACCACAAGAACAACATCAAAATACCTATGTTTTACAGTTTTAATGAGAATTTTGTTGTGTTTTTTTAGTTTTATGTCGCAGGTTTCATATTAGCTGGTGAATTATATGAATCATGACTATGTACGATATTTGAATTGCCATAATGCCTTGTGATACTGTAATTGTCTTTGCTTTCTGTTGACAGAAGGATGTCGTAAGAACAAAAAGCACAGAATGTATGTCATTTCCGGTGGTGTTTGCTAACTTTGTGGTAGCTATTGAATGGTTTGTGTATGGAATCACTATCAAAGATATAAATGTACAGGTAAGTACCATACATAAGATGTTATCATATACTGCGTGAAAAGAATTTTTCAGTTAAATATTCTCCCAATCCAGATAAATCAAATGAGTACTACCACATATCTATACTAAATACCTTCGTTCTGAATACTATAAATCAATTTTGAGTGGTTATCCTTTTTCAGTTTTTCAAGATGGAAAGAAATCAGAAAGTTTTAAAAATTTAAAAAAAAAATTGAAAATGAAAATTGAGAAAGAAGATTTTTTCAGCTCCATTGTTTCAGTGAAATATGCATCTGCCTTAGTTTATCTTGATATAACCACAACATTCAGTTATTTGAATATAAAATATTGTTCTTCTTTGTATAGTAAGTTGAATCCTAGCTTTGCTATCAATAATGTGAAAGAAATTGTTTTTACTGTGGAGATAATACTTCTCAGTATACACCATGGGGTATTTTACAACTGTATATAGCTAAACATTACTTATACATTAATATGTGTAATTTTGAAAGAGTTGATAACAATCAATTGCATATCCATGATGAATGTTTAGAAACTTTGGAATACAAGAGCTAATATATACCATATTGTCACAAAAAAGTTTTAATCAGCATCACAATTAAAGTTCGTAAGAAAAAAGAAAAAAAATGTTCTTTCATCTTATGTGTACACTGTGCTGATAGCTAATTAAACTTTCGTTGTTTGTTTTCAGTGCTCAAATTTCCTTGGTGCAGTGTTGTGTTTTATACAACTAGGATTGTTTATAAAGTACCCTTCTAAACCAAAACAGACGTCCACCACTGTTTTGTGAAAATATGGTGTCTTCTTGAAGGTCTTCCTCAGCATCAGATCCTCAATTACCAAGTTGTTGCCTGTCAAAAGCTTAAAAAGATGCCTAAGCAAGTAGATGAAATAATATTTTTGCCAAGTTTGAAATTATTTTTGCCTTGTTTATGTTCCATGAATTATTAATTGGGCTAATGAAATTCAATCAAAATTCAATCGTGTCTTTCCCAAGGCTGAAAAAAGAGATTTCTTAACTTTAATGATTTTCAGCTTTGGGAATGAGACAGGAAGTTAAGACTTGGTTAATTGATTTTAAAACTTCTGATCCAAGATAAAAAAAAAATGTTTAAAATACAGATATTTGCCCTTAATATACATGGAATTGAAACTAAGTACATGTACAATGTACAAGGTTATTGGGTGCAATACTAGTAGATTTCAACATGTGTTCTGTCGGTAATGAATGAACTAAAGAGTAAAAGTTTTTCCTACTGTAGATATACATACTCTGTATAGAATTTGTGTTCATGGACAGAAGTTGGCAGATGTTTTTTTTTTACATGTAATTGTTTTGTGAAGTATGTAGAGTCTGAAAGATTTTTTTTTAAATACTGAAGTCATGCATATGTACCGTTGTTTTTACTGGCTTGTATTCAGGTTAACGTCACTTTGTGTAGAACCAGTTCATTATTGTTCTCGCTATGATTTTGATCTTGGTTTCTATAGTTAAACTGGTCTCATGTTGTTTTCTGTGATATTGTTGAAGTTAGCATCTTGATCTTATTGCAAACATTTATCGTTTAAACCTTAATTGATAATTTCGTATGAGCTCAATATCTGCAATGTTCTTATCATAAACAAACTTTATACTGAAAGAGCAAAAGTATATATATTTGATCAGATTGTAGACTGTCCTCAGTCAAGACCTAGGAACCTTCAAAACGTTTATGAGGACAATGGTGAAATTAACGCTGGAATTTGATGAATGTTGTTTTATTTACTTGGTCTTCTTGATCTGTTTCTCCTTTTATATTGAAACATATACGATTTCTTGTGTAACAATTCGATCCTGTTCAATATTTGTTGAAAAACATTTACTTGTAACTCTGCATGATAAAACAATATACATACAGTTTTACAACCACAGAAGTACATGAAATTACATTAGATAACCATCACCATAAATACACAGACTTTGTCACCACAGATTCACACAAAAATACATTCCAAGAAATATCACCACAGATTCACACAGACTTACATTCAAAGAAACATCACCACACATTCACACAGACTTACATTCTAAGAAACTTAACAACACATTCACACAGACGTACATTCTAAGAAACATAATTATTTACATGATGATACTTTGAAATACACTGTATATAACCAGAAACCTACAACACTGGTTTGGTACAATTTCCTGCTGTTTTAAATGATCGTTACTCTATATGTTGGTGTCAGTTTAATGGCCTCTTCATCATTGTATCAAAATATTCTTCACTTTAACACACGTTGAAAATTTTTTGAGGATATTGTAACACATGTAGGTTACTGACAGTCAGGAGACTTTTAACACATGACAATTACTGAGAGGATATTTCTGTCTTTTCTCTGGTTATTCAGTTCGTGATCTTCCACTAAAACTATGAAAGCTGTGAACACAGGATAGTTTTCATTTGAGAAATTAATAACGATGGTATGTTGTCTAACAGTGATTTTTAATCAAATTTTCTTGTTTTGAGGAAACTGTATGTCAGGGTGGATGGTGCTAAGATATGAGTGCAATATTTAGATATTTGTCATTAAGTGAAATATATATATATATTCATTGTAGTACATGCCCATAAGGCCTTTTCCTTGCTATGAAGTCAAAATACTTTACGTTAAAGTTCTGGACATCGTTTTTCATATCATATACTTAATTCTTTAAAAAAAAAAAAACACACCTTGCAATAATTTTCATCTTTTCTGTTTCAAAAGAGTTCCAAGGTATGAATGTAAATTTGGACTATGTATTTAGTTTATTTGATAAAGTTGAATTCATTGTTTTGTTCAGGGAACATAACTCTGCAAATATATATTAAGTAATATAGGTTGCTTTTGTGTAAATGGTTGAAATGGTGGGACCAGTTGAATGTGCAAGGAAAAAGCAAAGTACAGATTCGGACCTTGGCTTGACTGTGGATTTTGGCACATGCAGTTTGGGGGTCCAGCCATACCTGTCCAAACTGACTTAATGAATATCACAAGTTTTCAGAATTTCATCATTAGGCAGGGTTGGTAAATTACATATTTCCAGAAAGTTATGCTATTAATATTAAGTGTGAGATGAAATGGACCATATCATATTTTTGGTTAATTGATTTATATTTTTACAGTATCTGATACAAGTGCATTTGTTTATCATGGAATAATGTCAGGCCGGCTGAACCGTACCAACTATGTTACACAAAAGCAGCCTTAATGTAGCATATATAAACTGGGTCGCCTAGATATAAATCAAAATGTTCAAACTGTGATTTACATATGAGTTCAGAAATAATTTTTTCTCTTTTTTTTGATGTTTTCAAATGGTTGTTTTAAATTACATTGCAAAATGTTTCATTCTATTTTTCATCTTTCAAAGATTTTATTTAATAAAAAATCAGTTATGATCATTTTTTAAAAAAATTATCTTTAACTCATTGATTAAGCAGCCATGACGGCCTCCAATGTTACCAACAAATAGAACTTTCTGTAGCATACATACTATGGTAGTTTTGGGATATTTTGGATGAGGAATCCTGTACTGACAGATAGCAGGACGTCTATTTTTACACAGTATGGGTTTGTTTGATATTATGTCCATGATAAAAAATCTGGTTGTTCTGAGATTATTTGGGAATATTTTAAATACTTGATCCAACATGGAGGAAATCCTCATGAAAGGAAGCATTGGTATGTAGTAGGTCATCTCATAGCAAAATGAAAACTTTCTGTTATTTATTTATTTATTTATTTTTTAAACCAACAGTAAAAAAGTTGCAATTAAGCATTTATTTTACTTCAATTTTGAAATGGAATGGTTATTTCCCTTTTTCATTGTATCTAAATGAAATCTTATATACCCTTCCAGAATTCTGATAATTTCCACTAGAAAGAAATGCATTTCTTCCTTGAAATTCTAAAGGTTTGATTAGGTTTGTTTTGCATGTAAATTTTAATTTCTGTCCTGTAGTTCAGTAAAACTCTGTATATGTGAGCGGGTGCTTGTATTACCTCAATAATATTTAACTGACCAAAGATAGAAGTATCAGTACAATGGTACCATTTCTTTTTTTATTTAAAACTGTTTTTTGATTTTTCAAAATATTGTTATTTTGTAAACAATTTTTATGTCAAGAGAACATGAGTTCTGCAGTGTATATTGATAATTGTTTTCTTCAAAGTTCAGATGCATGCTTTGTAAATATATCTTCATACCTTACTAGAATAAGCTTGGACCAATAATATGTTGAGAATTATGTCAACACATTTACCATTATTAGTTTGGAATGCCAGGTATTATCTTTGCCATTTTGTTCAACCTTTTAGAGAAACTGAAGGTCATGAATGCACCTTGGAAAATTTTTTCAGATCTTTGTTCCTATCATCAGTATTCATAAGATTTATGAGGAATTTTTGTGAATTTTCTGTTTCAAAATTTTCTTCCATGAAACACGACCAATTAATTCACAAAAGTGATCATTTATTTCAGAAGGATCTTTATTTTATTGGATTTCTTGACATTTATGTGTTATAAATATCAAAATGTATTGAAAAAGGAACTTTGTCTAAAATGAATTTAAACCAAAACAGTAAATGATATTGTTTTATAAGCAAAACACATTTTGATGGAAAATTCAGAATGATTTGGTAGACATCGATGTTTTAATGGCGAATTTTGCATTGAAGTACACTTTCCATTTTTATACCATAGGCAAACCAAAAGTGTATTTATCAAAATAAACTTATTTTATTTTGAAAATTCTTAGAGAAAGGCATAAAGTTGACAGATCATTGAATATTTTCAAACTCTATACAGGTTAGCCATATAGGATGAAAGAGGTCATTGCTGTGGAATAGTGTTTCCCAAGTAAATAATAATTTGCATACAATGTTTTATGAAAATATTTGCTCAAGGTAAATTAGTTTTATATCAAGATTCTCATGAATGTTATTTCTAATTCTTGAGAAGTACTCAATAGATTCTTAAATATCATTTGTTGGTTCTCCCAGTTTCCTATAAGTTCATTATGTTTTTTGGATTGGAAAATCAAGATGGCTGACCGACCGTCATTTTGAATTTTGACATTTCAAGTTTGTTAACATGTTTTCTTAAAAAGCACTGGATGGATCACTCTTAAATTTCATATATGGAGGTTTCCATTGGTTTCTAGTGGTGCATTTTTAATTTAGAATTGATTGAAAAGAAGAGAAAAGAAGGGAAGAGATGTGACTTCAAAAGATAAAGGTCTTTCGATGGTAGGCATCAAGATCTCTGTAGGATGCTGTGTTTGTTTTCGTTTGTATATATTTACAATGTGCCATAATGTAACATTATTACTATTATTTTAAATCATGGCTTATAATCCGGGTATTTACAAATTGCATGCATGCATAACTTGTTAGTTCACGTTAATTCATAATAATTGTCTATTAATATTATTATTTTTTTTTGTAATACTTATTTTTGTTATCAGTTTGTGAGGGGAACAATAACATCTTGCCTTTCAGTTAACCATGCCAGATTTCACTATTTTCTCTCTCAGTTATATCACAAAATAGTATTCATTTTACGGTATTTATACCAACTTCAGTAATGGTTTCTGTAGAGAGTGAAGTATAATCTCTTAGACTATCTTATATAATATACATGTTTAATAAGTGTTTCATCTTTACAAATGATAAACACTGAACTGAAGTCTCATGTATATATTGGTATATTATAACCTGATTTCCAGTTTTCCATGACCTTGTATACATTTTATTTGATCAGAA